AATTGAGATGATTGTTGTGATACTTGAGGACGATAAGCAGATGATGGCGAAGGATACATTGGACGAATTGATGGTTGAGATGTCTAGAAAGAACAAAAAAAAAATTTAGAATATAGAGAGAAATAGAACAAAATATATCTTTACTGAAAGAGGATTATAAACGTTGGATGGAGATAGATTTTGACTCATAGGATAGGTAGTTGTTGGTGGTAGATTTGAATTAGTATTATATCCATATGATGGTGATGATGTTGGATTTATATTTGTATTATAAATGTTTGCGAATGGCGGAGTTGAATTTCCATTTGCAGTAGAAACATTTGATAATGGTGGAGTTGGTATTGTATGTGTATTAAAGACATTTGATGATGGTAATATTGGATTTGTATTTAATTTTTCAGTATTTGTTATTGATTGAGTAGGATTGATGTTTGTATGAGAAACATTTGATGATGGTAATGTTGGATTTATTTTTGTATTATAAACATTCGACAAAGGTTGAATAGTGGGTGGAAAAATTGAAGCATTTTGAGTAGAAATTGAAGAAATATTAGGTGGAAATAATGGTGGTCTAATACCATTTGTAATTGTATGAGACATTGGAGGAAAAACCTAAAGCAAAAAAAAAACAAAAGATGACATGATTATTGTGATGTTTTTAAAATGAAGTAATGAACATACAGGATTGACCGGTTTGTCAGGAAATGATGAACTATTGGATGGTCGTATTGTTGTCATTGAAGAAGTTTATGACAACTTCAGATCTAACAAGAAAATTGCTCGACTTATGCCACGTTAATGCTCAACTCTTGGTCCATTGTTGACGTTGTTAGCAATCCAATAACAGTGATTAGTTACACATTCTAACCAATAATAACACACAAGACGCAGAGACATCTATGAATGCTTAAAAAAATTTTTAGCTGAGTACTTTTTATCAAAAAAAACTCTAAGTCTCACCATAATACAAAATCTCTCGAAGGAATGATGTCTTTTATATAATAGAAGATCTTCTTCATTATACAATTAAAAAATTTCAGATTAATCTATGGATCTGTTTGGTTTTTTATTGAAGAACTATCACATTTGCATATCAAAAATGCCTATGATATCATTTAAATTATGAATATTTCCGACATGAATCAAAATGACGTTGTTTTTTTTAAAAATCATACTCAAAGAGTTTATGTATCATAAAGAATATGTCAAAAATAAAAAGTCAACAGAACGATGGAATGGCCCAAAAATATTTTTTTTTGTACTAATATACTCAACACTATGAATTGTTATTTTAAAAAAATCATAGAATTTTAGCTTGTCATTTATTATTTATTTTTATTTGAGTTATATTAATAAAAAAGCAAATATTCACTATTGTATTAACCTTGATTTAACTAATCATTACGTAAATCCTTTTCTCTCTTCAAAATATAATTGCTTCATTAACGTTTTGTTTTTCTTAGATTAAGAACCCAATTTTTACTCTTATCTAATGCATTCCTTTAATAACAATAAAAAAAAAAGAAAGTAATTTCATATTGTTTTACTCTATTGAAACAAATTTCAACATATTAAAAACGTCCGTAGAAATTTACTAGACTATTTCTTAACTTCTTCCATGTAAATCTGTTATACATCAATAACTACTATACAGTCTAGACATTGTTAAAATGCTTTGTTTCCCCCCAAAAAAAAGAAAGAAACTTTTTTTTCTTGAATAAATAATTAATATAACATAATACTTATTCGATGACACAATCTAATCTAATAGGTAATAGAATAATTTGTCTATACATATATAGATCAAAGAATAATCTTCATATGACATGCTGACAATATCAATTCATATTCTGTCATCTTCAATGAATTGTTTATCATACGATTGACACATGTTTGTTCAATCATAAAATTAATCTTACGTCATTTTTTTTTTTATTTAGATAACTTATAATGAGTACTAACAAATTAAAAATTTTATTTCATTAAATAATTTATCGAACTGATTTTGTTTTTCTTTTTGTACTATTAAAAAAATACTTGGCAAATCAAATAGATGATGATGATGATGAGACACATCTTGAATAGATAATTAGTTTCTGCTACTTGTTAATTAGATCAACATCATCGTCTTTTTTATTTCTCCGCATGAAATCAAGATATGGTTCAACGACTATCGGAATTATATCAATTCAAATACATGAATTTTTTTGATAATAAGTAGCTTTAAATCATATTTAAATAAAAACAACAAAAAAGCCAAAATATTCATTATTCTAAACACAGCATGATGTTAAATTTAATAATCATGTTTTGAACTTCAAATGAACTATCTTTCTTTTTTGTTGTCTTGTATGTCGGTTTCTATGAAAATGGATTATAATAAAATTTAATCATACATCATATATTGTTGACTATACAAATGAATTATCTTTAGCGTTTTTGTAGATATCAATGATGAGAGGATTTTTTTTTTTGAGTAATTCAATACTTTTACATATATATTTAGTTATATAATCATTACTTTGAACTTATTTCCGTATTTGACTATGATGAGCAATATTTGTTCATTGTACAGTCACAAGAGAGACACTAACATGTTTACCAACTGTCATTTTGATTGCTTTGTAAAGTGACATGACTATAATTCATTAGCTCTTGTCATAGTCATTCATAATATGTTCGTCAATTCTTAAAAAATCTCATCTTCTTTTTTTTTTGACAGACAGATAAAGAATGAATGCATACAAAAGTACTTATTTTTTTTTTTTATTGTATTCGAAAGAATTCAACGGAAATCATAATTGTATTATAACCTTTACACACATACCATAGAATAGAAAATGCAGGTGAACACTTGAGAAAAAAAACAAGAAATTCGTTTCCTTTTCTTGTAATAATTTTTGAGTATATATTAACATGTTCAATGGAATGGAAACAAGATTATTATTACATATAGGTATGTGTTGAATGACCTTAAAATGCTACTATTCTAAGTTTCGAACAGATGCGCGTCCAGTCGACAATGGGTCAAGTAAACAATAGATAAAATGTACGACCTTTTCTCATTTTTTGCTAATTATAACTAATTCTTTCTTTTTCTCATTTATTCGTCGGATAGCTTCTTCTTCTTCTTTTTCGTAGACTATATTTGGTATGATCAGCCAACGGGCATATATCGTGTTGTGGTCGGCTCTGAAAGTGAAAGAGTAAAGAAAAGATGATTATAGATGCGGTTAAGCTTAACTAGGCCGTAGGCCATCATCATCATCATCAGAGTTCGAATAACGACAACTTAATCTCGCTCACACTTTCTGCAATGATCATGTCTCATGACGACGTTTGTTGCCCTCGAACTATACAATACACTCATGTAGACGACAAGAGCAACGAGTCGATCAAGTGGGAGCATATAAGAAGAATATATTTTTTTTTCTTTCCCTTGTTTCCTATCTAATTACTTATCACATCAAACATTAAAGTAAAAACTTTTCTATGGTCTCTTCATCCCTGAAGTATATGCTATGCGGAAATCAGTCAGACATAATCAAATTGTATATAACTAACAAGGCGCCTTTCAATATTTGATTGTGCAGCTGTTAGTATCCACATTTAATCAGATCAATTCGTACCATACTCAGTTGGTAGTTTCTCGAAATAATAAAAAAGAAAAGAAACGCATACACAGATGTGAATCAGATCATCATCTTTATACTTGTTGTCTATAGAAGGAAATAGATTAAACATTAAAGAATGAATCTCTAATCGAAACAAGTGAATCAATGAATAGTGAGTCTGATGAGATAATGGTGCGTGCCAATGTCTTGCTAAGAGAGAAAGAAAAAAAAAACGTATATCAAGGAGATTTCCAAACGGTACAATTAAAGACAGCATGAGGCATATCTTCCCATGACATGAACGAATATAAGTAAGAAGAATAGAAAAAAAAAAGAAATATCTACAATGTTCTTTCATTCTGTCTTGCCTTTCATTGAACCATGACAAGACGTTTAATGATGTGGAAAATGAATAGTTTGAGTACAACGAGATTTATCATGAAGAAAAAAAAAAGATTTCTCATAAATCATCGAACATAGCTAACATTTAGTCAATTGATTCGATTGAATGAAAAAAACAAAAAAAAAGAATAGATCTGCTATATCTATTTATGATTAGAGAGTATGTATATACATTTATCTTAACTAATCGATTTGTCTGATAGAAAATATACATTATTTACGCAATGAACACTTTCCCCTTTTTTCTTTCCATATGTATATATTATTGTTAGTTAGTTAGACTATGTCAAGATAATCGATAGAGCGAAATTGATGTCTTTCTGACAACGTCTGTCGTACTATGTGTATGTGTGTGTGTTGATCCGTCAATTTGAAAGATGATCAGACAGATTTATTTCTTAATTCTCAAATTTCATGAATTAAATAATAAAAAAAAAAAAAAATGAAATTTAAAATCAGTATATTAAATATCAAACAAAATGAATTTGACATAATATTCCTTTCATTGTTTTATATATATATAATTATAAATCAATTCTACAGATCATACACAACATAAATTTAAAAAGACAAAATCTCTCAGTCTACATGTTTTATTAAACATAAGTTCCTTTCGTTGATATTATTTGTTGATTTGTTTCTGTTAATAATGAAAGATCATTTTGTATTGAATGAAATAATTTATTTGTTAAATTATCTGATGATTGTGGTATTAATGTTGTACGTCTTGGTGAAAAAAGAAACATATCCTACAAAAACAAAAATAAATACATTTTTATTATTATTAAAAAAAGTAAAATACCGATGTTTCAACAGTAATATTTTCAGATTTTTCTGAACCATAAAGTGAATCAGCTGATGATGTTTGTTCAGATGATGATGTTTGTATTATTTTTTGTTTTGTACTATTATTATTATCATTTATTTTTTTATTTGTTATTAATGATAATGATTTTTTATTTAATTCATTACGACAATAAATACATATAAGTATTGTTGCAATAACAAATAATAAACCCATTAATATAGCAATAATAATAATTATATTTTCATGTTTAAATAATTGTAATATATTATTATTATTTTGTTTTATATCATTTAATAATAATAAATTATTACCTAATATTGAACTTTTATATAAACGTATTTTAATAATAGATGAAAAATTTTCATTATCAATATCATATGCTTCAATATCAAGCCATATTTCACCATTTGTTAAATAAAATAAACAATCATTATTTGTATTATTTAATTCAAATGTACAATTAATAATTAATTTATTTGTTATTAATAATATCCATTGTGGCCATGATAAACTTTTTTTACGATAACCAATATTTGAATATTCATCATTATCATATGCATTTAATATAATAGAAATTAATTCATTATTATATAAATCAATATCAATATTTAATAATGTTGTATTCCATATTGGTTTACAATCATTTATATCCGTAACAATAATATTAAAATAACGTTGAATATTTTTATTACGTAATATAACATTATATGATGAACGTAATTCACGATCATATATACGATCAGTTAATAATGTATAACTATAATTATTTAATTTTTGTATAAAAAATCCATCGCTTAATATAATTTCTAAATATTCATCAGATTTAATATATGCTATAAATGTTGCATTAGGTAAATTTTCAGATATATATACTTCAGTTAAATTTTTTGATACACGATTTGAACCAAATGTTATTTGTATTAAGGATTTATTATTATTATATATATCATTTAATATATTAATATAAACAGTTGTTAATGCTGGTATTGAATTTTTTTTACCATCAGATGCACCAATAAGTAATTTATATATAGTTTTTATTTCTATATTATTTAAATTTGATATTAAACTTAATTCACCTGTATATGAATTTAATTGAAATAAATTATTTTGATTATTTATATCATATTTATAACCATCAATACTTAATAATGAATAATAAATATGTGCATTTTCATTTGAATCTTCATCATATGCAATTAATTTAATTAATATTGTACCAATTGGTATTATATCTGTTATATTAATTGTATATATTGTTTGTAAAAATTTTGGATTATGATCATTAACATCAAGAACAATTAATGTTAATTTTGTTGATGTTATATATTTATAATCATTAACTGTTAATGTAAATATATATTCATATTGTAATTCACGATCAAGTGTTATATTTATAATAAGATATAATTCATTATTAATTATATCATATTCTAAATAAAATGGTTGATTATTATTATTAATTGTTTGATTATTATTATTATTAAATAAATTTATTTTTGATATTATTATATAATTATTATAAATATATGTTAATTCATAATATTGTATATTATTAATTAAACAATCAATATCATCAGCTTTCGATAAACGTATTTTAATACCAGGCATATTATTTTCAGTTAATGATATTGTATATGTATTTGAATTAAATATTGGTTGATTATCATTAATATCATTTATTTTAAATTTTAATAATAATATATCATAATAAAATATATCATAAAATTTCATTGTTATATAACATGTTAAACATAAATCATCATTTGGACATAATGTATCACGATCAATACGTTTTATTATTATTATTGAATTTGTTGTTGAATTAAAATATAATAATGATGAACTTTCTAATAATTGATAAGTTATTAATGATGATGATGATAATGGTGATATACTATTTAAATCAAATACAATTGTACCTATTGAAATTTCTTCATTAATCATTATTTCACGTTCACGAGATTCACTGAATCCAATAAATAGAAAAAGAAGAATATAGATTAGAAGCATGATCATCTCTACAACAAAAAAACGAAGAAAATGTAATGTTATAAATGAATGGAAAAAGAAGAAAGAGGAAGAGTAATAATATTTTTCTCGCTTTCTCTTTCTCTTCTTTTTTCCTCTTATTAACGTCCAATGGTCAACACAAGACAGACAGAGAGAGAGAGAAACTAAAAGAAGGAAAAAAAAAGGTGATAAATTACCTTTTTTTTTATTCCAACACTCTCATAGTCAACTTGTTGAATTTTAAAAGAAAAAATAATTATCTTAACACAGTAGGATGTCTTAATGACAAAATCTATGTTATACAAGTTTGAGATAGAAAAAAAAAATTTTTTTTCGTGTTTCTGTTATTGTCACTATGAACAATTAGATCAATCTTAGCCGTTCATTTTTAAGTTGACATACACGATCACACCTATGATATTAAGCAGAAAATGAAATTTTTCATGGAAAATAGTTATATATATCAAGTAAAAAAAGAAAAAGACACAGATACTTAGTCTAATAATTGGACAGTGAACATCTCTTGTCTTTATTTAGTTAAAACACATTCCATTAGCTATATAATAGTATATGTATCTATATATATAACTCCTCCTATCATTAGAATACTTTACCTATCTCTCATTTTTCTCTTGTCTACTGCCGGCAATAATAATCATTATTGTGATATTACTGTCATCATTATCCTGTGGGTGTGGCAAAGAGTATGTATAATTCTCTTTTCCTTGAGAGAAATGGATAGACGACGGTCATGACCTAGCGACTATCTTCTTTTTTTTTTTTTGAAATATAGTGTGAAGTAAGTTCGATAGGTAAATAGAATAAATAATATGAAGAAAAAAAAAAAAGCGGCTTACAGTCAATTATTTGTTATTTGCTAAAATAATATGCAAATAAACAAACAAAAATAGACATTTATCAGATAAGCATATACTTCTCATCTATTGAGAATCATATCTATGATAGAGAATTAAGAATTTTTAAAATGGTCAATTCATTGACTCAGTATGGTGTATATAGTAACTTTTAGAATATGTAGATGTCATTGGTACCATGTTGTTGTGTTTGACAGCAAGCCGCCAAAGAGCAGTATGCCAAATCAATTACAAGTCAATTGAGACAAGCATATTTCTTATTTCGATTACGTCATTCACAAGTGAATTATTCTCTGAAGGTGATCAAGCTATCCAACCGTTTGTCTTTTTTTGTTGCATATAACATTTATTCTTGTTTATTATTCTCAATGAGGAAACGCGTGTGTGGTGTCCATCTGGTTTTTATATATGTATATATATTTATATGAAGAATAGAAATTGAGAAAATTTTTCTATTACTTGTTTTGTTTTTACAAGCAACTGATACAATCTCTTTATCTAATGAGAATCACAAATTCAAATTATTGAATATGTATGAAGAATAACAATTATTGAATAGATATTGAACATATTCTCATTTGTCTAACTATATTTTCTTTTTTTTTTCACTATATTAAATCAACAATAGTTATCAATCGATACTTATCTGATAGATCGAAAAAAAAGAAAAACAAAACAAAATACTACATGTCAACTTATACATATGATAAGATCCCTTCGAAAGATGAATTTGCATATACGACATACAAGATGAGACACAGAAAGGCTAAGACGGATGCGATCAATCGACGCGCTTGTGGTTCAATTTACCTGCACTAATACCATTGCTATGTATACAGACACTTGAGTAATTCGTCGGTGACCGGGAGAAACGAATGAATCTACTTTGAATATGCGTCGTATTACTCTCAATCACAGCAGTGAGCTTTTTTTTTTTTTAATCCAACCTTGTATATGTGTCTATACATCTATCGACTCTGAATGAATAAATGTTTACAAACGTATATATATCAATTTCCATCAATACATACAGGATATCATCATGAGACTAGTGCTCAACAAAACAAAAAAAAAACGAACTAAGTTTGGTCACACATACGTTCTCATGTAAATGAGCTTTGGTTCATTTGAAATTCTTACTCACCCGTTTAGAATGTTTAGGTGTTTTTTTTTTGTGTATGTCTATATTTAGATTGATGTTTGAAGAAAATAAAAATGATTGACACAATCCTTGAGACAATATATATTTAACGACGAGACTAATTTTACAAAAAAAAAAAAAAAAGAAAGAGGCGTCTCTCATTTTCGTTATTGTTCATTGCACAATCAAAAACTCATTTCACGCAACTATAAAATAGACAAAATATATATGTAAGAAAGAAAAAAAAAACATAAAACTATTCATTTAGAAGACATATTGTCTATATGCATATGTGTACCCCCTAGTGAGTTTTCGAAATATCGAATACTAGAAATAATAATAATGAAACGTTGCTAGTAAAGATCAAAGAATGACTTTTAACTGGCTTGATGATAATTGATAATCGAATGGATACTGCGAAACAGAAAAAAGGGCGCGTATGGTGATGATGCATATCTCTTCTTCATTTTTGTTTTTTCTTGTAGCGTTCAAAATCAATTATTATTTCGTTCCCGTTCATAGACAAAAAAAAAAAGAGAAACGTGCGTATCATCACCATCAATGATAACGAGGATTACACACCTGAGAAATTGTGCATGATGTGTTCTTTTCATCTATCCGCATTTGTGATTGTTTAACTTCTCAATTGAAGTATATTGGTCGGCTGTCACTTGGATGATTCATTTGGAAGAGAAGCCTTTTTTTGTTTTCTTTCACACTCAATTGAAAAGTGAATTATTGCACGTTATTCAATCTTGAATACTTCAAAATGAAAAAAAGTAAATATATCATTTTCTTTCTGTTTGTCATTTTGACATTTTCTACGATGGATGGATTCTCATTAGAATAAAGGCGGATCTTATTCAAAAATAAAAAGAAGAAACTTTAACAGATGTTATCAAGTTAAATAGAGAAATGAATGAGATCATTTATCACACCTATCTCACTAGAAGAGGATATCACACAAATGTTTCATGTTTCATTTTTTTGTTGTTCTTGACTGGTCTATATCGGCATGTCTATGGTTAGTTCTCGTTTCGTCGAAACGCTAATTGATTTTCTCGTTTCGTCGAAAATAAATTTTTCATCCATTCTCGTTTCGTCGAAAATGAAAAAACGACTGTTCTCGTTTCGTCGAAAAGCATAAATGAAATGAAAATATAATAAACATAATTAGCTTATCATAAATTCTGTGATTCTCTTGAATAGACTTTTAAATAGAATGAGACTCAATGAATCTGTTGAAAGAGCTTATTTGAGAACATTGTAATAAAGACACACACTATATTGAACAAGAAGACATAAGAAAAACCATTCAGAATTTTTTAATACCAATTAATCGCATAACTTTTTCAAGATATTCTTCTAATGTTAATATTTGTTGTTTAGAATGTGTGTGGGTGTGGGTGTGGGAGTGAATATAGGTTTGAGCGAACAGAATACCCTCATTCTAACGCTCACCCACACTCTCACCTCCACCCTCACCCACACCCTTAATCAGTCTCTTTAGAAAAAATATTGCTGAAGACAATCAAAGCAATTAAGCTAGTTGCTTTGATCCTGCTTTTTTCATTACAATTTAATTTTTCGACGAAACGAGAACAGTCGTAATTTTATTTTCGACGAAACGAGAACACTATGAAAAAAGCTCTAACAAATTTTTCGACGAAACAAGAAAATCAATTAGCGTTTCGACGAAACGAGAATTCACCATGTCTATATATGTTGTACACGCGATAATACAGTTAAAAAAGAAAATCAGCATGATTGTATGTGACAAGTTTGATGAAGACTTTGCATGTATTGTATACTTTAGAAGTCAAATCGATTTAGTGTCATTCATGATGAATCTCATTTTGTTAAACTTATACATTGAAACAATATACATTTTAATATCATCAATTGAAAAAGTTAATTGAATAGATAAAAATGATATTGAAACCTATATTCAATAATTTATGGAAACAATTCTTAATGATAATATTTATATCTATTGGCCTGATAAGTTTACATTATGTGAATATTTATAACGGATGAGTTTGATTGAAAGATAAAATCGATCAACAAAATAGTTTGTTTTTTAATGCGAAACGAAGAGCATAGCATTGATCGTGTATGCGCATTTGGTCTTCATACTTTGTGTATTTTTCGTTGTAACTAATACATCTCAGAATTCATTAAAACAAACTTAACATACCAGATTTTCATCTTCTATTTCTACAGTTTGTAAAATGAGTAGTTGGATACTATTGAAAGAATGAAAAACGGCAAGTTGTGATTGTATTACCCTTAGTTTTTTTGCAATATAATAGAGATTAGATGAGGTTATAGACGGATAGTCCAATTTTTTTTTTCAAGTTTATGATGTTCTCATTAGTATGGCGATGGATCTATTTGAACTTTTCGGATGCTGCTTGATGACAGATATACACGATCGTGCACCGACTCAAAAAATCCTCCCGATTTTCACGAATTAATTGTTGTGAGAAATAAAGACTGGTTATTGGAAACGGAATACAGCGCAAATCTTTATTTTCATTTATGTCGATCTTTACTTCTTTATCCATCTGATTACTGCTAAAAGTTCATATATACCGGAAGGATGATCATTATTAACAAAATTGAATATTCATGGCTAAAGCCATCAAGTATTAATGATACAACATATCTCGATCAATGTGAGTTGAAGTAAATTATTCATAGAAATAGTTTTGTTGAAGGTTGTCTTGTTTAATAGAATTGTTCTTAGACATATATGACAAAAGACAATGGTAAAAATAATGAATATATACAAATACGAATTTTACAAGTAATAACAGCAGAGTTTTTTTTGGAATAATAAAATAAAATTTAAATGTCTATTATCACTTTTTGTAGTAACGCAGCAAACTCTATTAGATTCTAGTGGAAAAAAAAAAGTTTCATCAAATCAATATCATTTTTTTTTTTAATAAAAGAAATAATTTACAGTTCAAATTATTCTTTTCTTGTTTGTACACTAAAAATACTATATTATTTTATTGAAAGATTTGATGTACAAAGAATAATATAGTTAAAAGAAAGACGTGATCAGAGACCGTCACAGGGCATTTTTTTTCGCCCTGCCCTGCCCTGCCCTTAGGGCAGGGCACAGGGCATATACAGGTTAGAATAATACTTCTAAACTGAGTATGTCTATTGCAAGATTTTAAGCTTCGATAAAACAGTGATATTCTCCGGTACTTTTAGTTCCTAAATCCCGTGGAATACCAGATTTTTCACTAGAAAAAAGAAACTTTTATTAGGAAAAAAGTAATTTTAGTTGCAAAAAAATGTTTTTTTTACTAGGGTTACGTTTTCTTTACTTTATGAAATAAATATAAGTGCAATTTTTATATTTATAAAATAAAAATAAATAAAAAGAAACTATTATTTAAAAAATGAAGATAAATGAAATTTTCATACTTACAAAATAAAAATATAGATTTTTTTCTTATTTACCTTTATATAAAGCAAAGATGAAATAAATAATGAAGAAACCTTTTCTATGAGAATCTAATCTTTAATTTTTCACCAAGTAGCTCACAAAAATGTACGACACCCAGTGTTTTATCCAGGATTTTTTCTCCGGAGGGGCGATTTGGAATTTCGGGGGGGGAGGGGCGAAAAATTATTTTTGGGAGAGCAAGCCACGTGTTTTTAGTACGATGATCGCAAGTTTCGGGGGGGCGAACTCGATTTTCGGCGGGGCGCGGCCCCCCCGGGCACCCGTCTGGATAAAACACTGACGACACTATAGATCGAAATGAAATATACAGAAAATTTTTTTGCATATATATTCTTTTTTTCTTGTACCCGCTTGACTTTCTAATGATATCATATGTCGAAGTGATATTCATGGCAAGAAAGAATATTGATTAAAATATCCAGTTGTTATTACTAGGTATTTGTCTATCTATCTATGACAGAACAAATCTTTCTGTATTCTTTATTTTTAAATAATAAAGATTTCTTTTTTGTTATTCTTATTTCTTTTCGCAAATGCAAAGAATTTCATTATTTTAATTTTTGGGTCTTCCGAATGAAAGGCAACTTTTTATTTGATTTTCTTTCTTGCAGTTTTTTCTTTGTTCATAAACTTTTTGAGCAAGCAGTCATTTCATATTGAGATTTCTTAAGACGCGTAACAGAAAAAAAAGACTCGATTACATTTTTCTAATCAAGTTCATTTTATAAGCAAGACTTAATTCATTGAAAATTATTTTTGAAAAGTCAATTGCATGAAATAATTAGATTAAAATTGAATAAATCATTGCCATTTTAATCAGAAAAACTAAACTAGAATCAGACTTTTTTCATTTTTTTTGGCACAGGGCAAAAATTTTTGCTCTGCCCTATGACGGTCTCTGATACCAAGTAACATCGATTCGAAGAAAGTCAGGAGTTAAAGAGCATACAACAGTAGTATAGTTTCATTTCTTTTCAGAGATTAGATTCATGGCCATGTAATTGTAAATAATCGAACAATAGTCTTCTAGCGAAATTTAACATTTTATTTTATCTTCCAAATAGTGAAAAAATCTTCTAGTGAATAAGCAAGATCCGATAATTTAAATTTAGAATGCATGAGATCCTTAACACTTGAGTTAGCTTTTCTTGTAAATTTTTTTAGTATTTGGAAGATAAAATAAAATAGAAAAAAAATTGCTAGACAGCTATCACTCGATTATTTACATTTACATGACCATGAACCTATTCTCTGAAAAGAAATGTTCGATTTTACGCGTTTTAAACCGTTAATCTCGAAAATGCGTTTTAATCGTTTGTCTCTTCTATCATTTTAACGATGTGAAAGCTGAAAAAAATGCGATTGTTAAAACGCCAAAATTCGGACATTTTTGACTGTGTAAAATGCGTTACAAGATAAAACGCAAAACGGTCGTTATAACGAGTCAATTTAACTTTTCTGACTGCTTGGGTACTAATATAATTTTTTCAAACAAGTTTTTCTATATAAAGTCAAAAGTACTGAAACAACGAATTGGATATGACTTTCCGAAACTGAATTTGATGTTGTATCTGTATCAATCTTCTAGAATAAAAATAAATTCGAGTCTATTATATCCTACAAATATATTATCAAATTTCTAGAGAGTCGAAACGAATTAACATATGTGTACATGCATCTGTCACTATAACGGTTGAAAAAAAAAAGAAGTTACATAAGAATTTCTCGACAATCTTAATGTGTTGAAATTATATTCCTTATTGATCAGTACATGAATTCTATATCTTTCTAATCAAAGTAACGTTTTTAGATGAGATTGAACATCTAGAGTTATATTTCGAAACAATCAACCTAATGTGAGTTTGACAGATCCTGAAGTTATTTGATAATGAACTTTTTTCTTAGCTAGAGTTAAACGAAAACAATTATTATTACTCACATACAATTGTTGTAGCTTCGACAGACCATAAATTAGAATTAATTAGAAGAAGTGCAGTGTATGATAGGCAAAAGAAGAGAATTCATTTAAATCTTTCCATTTTAGTCAAGAATCCAAGAAAAAATATGTTTTAAATTCTATCCAATTCATACGATGAAGAGTATTATGTAAAATAATTCAAAACTTCTCGAAATGTTTCAATCGATTTGTTTACAAAGCGAAACAAATAATATTAGTTATTGTTAATGCTTGTATTTCTGTCAGGATACAATTTTCGAATTGAACTAATTCCACAAGATACAAATTAGAAATAAATAATGAGAACGGTAAATATTTATACAGGCGAGTCTACTTATAAGAGCTCCGGATAAAGGAGCGGTCCGCTTTTAAGAGCCGTTTTCCAATTCTCCGTTTTTTTCTCCTGTGTTTTACGTACTGGCAAAGTCCGCTTATGAGAGGTTCGGATAAAGGAGCGGTTCGCTTATAAGAGCTTTGTTTTGGCGCTTTGAGTCCGCATAAAAGAGCCATATTGTATGTTGTTGTTCTTTTCTTTTTCTATTCATCTGTTGCACGTATGCTCTTTTTCGTCTTACTCACTTTTTCTAACTGACGTTTTTGTTGAGTAAGAAGAACCATTGTCTTTTTCTGTCTATTATTCATTTTCTAAACAGTCGGACGAAGCTTCTCGACTTTTTCTCTAGTCCATCTATTGTCTCTCTCCTATATATATATACTTGCTGTTTCTTCAATAAAGGGATCAGATATTCATCCATCCAAAAGGTAATATATATTTTAGAAGAAGAAGTCGGAATTGTTGATGAACTGATGCCAGGTGTCTCTCATAAAGATGCCTTGATGCATCTTTCGATGGTTCGCAAGTATTTGGAAGAGAATTTTACAGAGTATAATTCATATTATGATATCGAAGACATGATCGAAAAGAACGCTTTAATTAACCGTACTCAAAGTAAAATCACGGATTTCTTTAAGTAAATTTATGTATGTCTATGTTGACAAGAAACAATTTTTGCACTGTTTTACATATAGTTCGGATAAAGGAGCGATCCGGATATAAGAGCCTCTTTTAGAAACCCCGACTGCGCTCTTATAAGCGGACTCGACTGTATGATTGTTGTTCCTTTGTCTCTCTATTGCTATAAATTCATTCTTATTTTTTTCATCAATTAATTATTCATTCGTTTTTGATTCAAAAAAAGTACGTCATTATCTAACTTTCTCAATCAATTTTTATTATTTAGAAATATTTGAAATATATCAATAAAGTTTTCTAGAAAACTAAAAATATTCAATATTATTATTATATAGTATTTTCATCTACAATTTATAATTAGCAACATCTGTTCATAACTTTGTAAACTGGATACTTATCGTACGAACTAATAAACGTCGCTCTGATTTTCATTCACTATTTCACTTCAAATTATTACCAACATTTTTTTTTTTTTGAAATGTCAAATCAAACCGATATTGTTACACAATTGCAAAAATTACCATTTATCAGTGATGACGTAAAAAATATAATTAATGATATATATCAATATGAAATGGAAATGTTAAACAACGAAAAACATCATCATCATCGTCAAAAATTTATACAATTATTTGATGAATTATTACGATCATTAAAAAATGACTTATTTAATATGAAAGAATCTGTATATGATATACAAATAAAAAGTCTATTTGATCAAACAAAATTACAATTAGAAAAATTCAAAAATACATTTTCCAATGAAACATTAAATATTGAACAATTTAATTCAATATTTTTGGAACTAACAACATGTATTGAAAGAATATATAGTATTATGCAAACCATATTCAAACGTGTTACAGTAAGAGTTTTTTTCTTTCAATATGCTAGTTTTTTTTTTTTTTGTGAACATTTTATTTAGATTAAAATAAATACAGGTATTGAAGAAAATGAAAAATTATTTGCTGAAATCGATGGTATCAAGAAGAAATTAAATCAATATGAACAATTAAAAATGCAAATCGAAGAACTTAAAAAGAAAGATTTACAACGTTTGAAAATAGAAAAATATCATGATAAAAGAATTTTAATACACGATTTATTTACTATACTTGAAGAAAAATTGTCTAAACAATTGCAACAACACAACATACCGGACGAAAAAATAAATATATTTTTAGAACCAATCATGAACTGTAATACATTATCACAATATCATCCTGTATTACATAATATTTTAGAAGAAATATCAAAAGATTTCGGATTAACTTGTGATCAAATAATGTTCTATTTGAAAGAAAAAAAATCCAATGAATCGTTTCATATAGATATGGATTTCGAAGCGTACGCTAGATCTCGTGAAGATAGTCAAACATATATTTTGAATGAATTTCTTGCAACAATGAAGATGCATTTACTTGATGCACAAGATGTTGTCGTGCTCCAACCAGTCTTCGAAAAAGTTTGTCGAATCATCAACAATCAGTAGAAATAACAAGATTTTGAAAGATCTTTCATATGTTGAATGACATTTTTTCTGAAGTAAAATATATATTGAAGTAGTGTAACATCTGTTTTGTTTTTTCATTTCATAAGTTTTATTTAAAATAAAGTGGTGGATACAGTTTAAGACGTTCTTGTTTTTGCTATAACTCAGCCGTCTTTATAGATAGAGATCTGGTTCTTTCAGCGTTAGAAAGATCTTGTTAAGTACTATGTTACCTGAAAAAATTATCAAGAACAGATCTGTTTTGTTTGAGTTAAAGAGAAAACAATTTTTTCCAGGTGGACATAATTTTAAGACATTTTTTGCAATTTTCTGACCAAGTGATTGTACCAAAAACAGTTGAAACATATAGAATTGGACGCAGAATTTTATGACAAAAAAATTGTCAATCCATAGTTTTTAAATTTAGTGTTTGTTAGTCTCAGGGATTTAATGGGATTTGAAAATGAAGATTAGAAATAATTTCAACATCAACTAGTGTTCCAGAAAGAGCGTCAAAAACTGAACAAAACTGTATTTGCAAGTAAGTTTCGAAGAGTTTTCTCCTTTTGATGACTCGTTGATTCTCGAATTAAAATTTTCTTTCTACAAAAAAATAAATTTGAAATTTTCAGTCAATATCAGTTTTGTAGAGAATTTTTAAATTCTCTACAAAATAAGACCTTCCGAACTTCTCTAAGATGCCTACTATAATTGTTCTGTTCCATATACTTTTCGTACCAAAACCCCATGTCGAACGGTACGGCTTCGGTACGCGTGCGGCACAATAGAACACTTCAGTCCATGTGCGGTACACAAATTATTTTATTGTTTATTTTTTTGCATAAAATAACTCAAAAGTATCTCAGCTTTTCTTTTGATAACTCGAAATCTTTTAAGATGTATTAATTTTTTTTTTAAATAATTATCTTATTTGTTTAATATAGTTATTAATTTGTTTTTATCTAAATTCTTCAGTGTTTCTAATGGTAAGTGTACATAGCAGAAGCAAAGTGTACAGACATTTTCAGCTTTGAAAATATACGCTGTTGTATACTTGATTTAAAAAAACAGAGTGTACAATATACTCAGTGTTTCTAATAGAAATCTAAAACAAAAAATCAAATTGACATTTTATTTTTGTCATCAAAGTGCAACATGACACTCTGCTTTTTTTTGAAACAAAGCATCACAAAGCTTCCAAGATGTTCATTATTAGAATTAGATTAAAAGAAAAAAAGAAATATTTCATATAAATTTATCAGAGCTTTCCTATTGGAAGAAAGACTCACTTTCCAATTTCGCGAAATTTCCGTTTTTGACAAGCGAGTTTTCCGTGTTTTATTCATTTTTTTTATTAATTCTAAAAACATCACTGTAATCTACAAAATTCGATCGAATCTTAAAATGTCTTCCAATTGGTCTTCTGAGTCGTCGATCTTGCACCCCCCTTCTCTTCTACCTTGTAGACATCGAGACTACGGTCGCACTTTAACTTTAAAACTACTTTGATACTATACGTTTAGTTAAAGTTAATTACTTTAAGCTTTAAAGTTGAAGTAGATTTTTTTGCAAAAAAAAAAAATTGTGAAGAAATTTAATTTAACTTTAACTTTCCGAAAGTTAAAGTTTAGAGTGCTCTTATTTTTTATTTTACTTTAAATTTATTCCCTAGACTGAAAGGATAGGGTCTAGAAACGAAAATTCACGTGTGTCTGTCTGTCTGTAACTATGGTACAAATCACCATTTCTCCGGTATAAATGATCACCTAGCAACCATGATTAGAAAGGATGATTTAGTAACTATGGTACAATACAACACCTAGTAATTATAATTTAAACGATATCAGAAAAGATTATAAAGATATCACTCATCTAGCTATTGCTGTTGCAATTAACAGCTTAATATGAGTTGTATAAAATTGAAGTTGTCAAGCATTTTTATTAATAAATTATGAAGTCTAATTAAAGTTGGCTTAATTGTGTACAGACAAGCATATCATTGTTTCATAAATTGTAACTAGTTAAGTCAATTTATCCATAGAATTATGATAAACGAAAATCTTCTTTTTAAACTATGTAATAAAACTAATAAAACTAATGTAATATGATTTTGTTTTGATTACAAATAGCGCTAATATAAACTATTTGGAAAAATGCATTCTTAATTTAGTTATAATTATTATTGGAAAGATGATTAAGAATACAAAGGCTAAGTGAATCGCTTGACGATAAACGTTACTTGTGTATGAAATGAAAATCTATTCCAACTCATATCTACATTCACGCCCTATTCTATACGGATGATAAAAACTTTTTTTTTTGGCTGACTAATATCTCTATAAGCTGACTTTTTCTTAGAATACAACTGAAATGATTTGATTAATAAGTTTCAAAGTCTTTGTTTTTAATAGATATGAAAGAATAGAATCGTTTTATTAAAATACACAATGAACATTTCTATTCAATTGTTAAATTTGAATACTTCACTATATTCATATATATTAATGAAATTTTTTGCATAGAGTAATTATATTATCACAAAACAAGACTAGTCGAATAAAGAAACATTCTATTTTTGATGTCTTTTTCTTTTTTTTTTTTGAAACATTAATAATATAATAATCTAATTGTAAAACAAAAATTTGATGATATATTTAAAAAAAAAGAAACCAGTTTTATATTCATTATTGTTTTAATCATAATGATCCTATTCGATTTGTTTGTTGATTTTGATTATTATCATATATTAATATTGGTGTTTCTAAATCATCTAATTCAATGAGTTCATCAATTGTAGCTCTTTCAAGTTTTGGTTCTTGATATTGTCGTTCTTTTCGACGTTGTTGAACATTATATTGAAAACCTTTTAAACCAATTCGACTTAAATGATTTTCACGTTGACGTTGTAATGTTGTTGTTATTGGATGATAATCTTTTGGACGATCTTTTTTTATATCAATAGGTGCATCTGATTCTGTTGTTGTTGGTGATGAATCAAGTGTACCAAGAAAATGTTTTGTAAGACCATCAAGTATATCAACACAATGCATACGATCATTTTCACATATAGGTAAATCCATAGCAACAAGTAATAAATGATTTGGTTTAGGTATACGTAATGGTGGTTCAAGACCATCAACAAAATTTGATAATTGATCATACCGTATAAATTGTGAACCAGATGGATCTAAACGTTGCCATTTTTCATAATACATATCATAATCATCATCGGTTAAGCCCTAAATAATATTTCAAAAACAAAACAAAACAATTGTTAGTACAATTCTTGCTGAATTAAAATATGAAACATGATTTAGCTGTTGTTACTAATCACAGCGAGAGTTTTTGAGGTTAACCGCAGTTCTGTTCCGCATTTTGAAAAACCGCGAAAGTCAGACCATTTATGCGTCTTTCAAAAACCGCATAAACGGTCTGACTTTCGCGGTTTTTTCTTGAAAAAATTTTCCGTGGGTATGAATACATGATACACTCTATAATGCTTAGCGGTATACATTTGCATTAAAAACTATTTATCAGCAACACCCATTTAGATCAAATTATTATTCTATGGTTCCATTCAACAAGATGACGTAGTTCTAAACACATTACATTTGAAGAAAATGATATTGTGTGTAGATGGACAAAAAGTATTTTACATGAACTTCATAGCAGAGATGTCCATCGCGGCTCAAAATCTGCCGCTGCCGCGCCGCGGTCAAAATCAAACAAAGCTGCTCCGCCGCTCCCGCGACGCGATGGCCTGTTAAAAAAAGCTACCGCGCCGCTGCCGCGCTGGTATTCGAAAAAATGTTTTGATTTTCAAGGCTTTGACTGGTTTGAAAAGGAACTGATGCCACTAATCGATCAGATTCGCTAAGTCTTACAGTATAGCATACATAAACATGCAGATTCTGTGCAAATTCATGAATTTTTGAAATTTTTCCCTAAAAAGCTGCCGCGACGGCAAAATAAAAATCTCTCCCGCGCCGCTGCCGCGCCCCCACCGCCACGCCGGCAGCGGCGCGATGGACATCTCTGCTTCATAGTTAGAATCATCCATTGTTTGATTACTGAACAAACTACTTAGAAATTCACAATATGGATATAGACTTTTAATGAATTTTCTCCAGATACGATGTCAACATAATTTTTAAAGGTTACTAATTTTGTATCTTTATACTTCAACACTTCTTTTCGATCGAATTTCACAAAAAAAAAAGAAAACGAAACATAATTCATATTGTATTTACTTGTTGTACATCTTCTTGTGCTTGAGAAAAATTTTCTAAAATCACTGCAATATACATATTAACCTAAAATGATAAAATTCAATTAAAGATTAAAAAAATAATGTTTTTTAAATAACTTACCACAACAAGTGAACTAATTATTAAATAACTAACAAGAAATGGTATTGCTATAGCCATATTACCACAATCACCACGATGTGATGGTGAATATATAGTTGGATCACAATCAGGTGGTCGATCATTTGTTAATGCTTGTAAAACACCAGACCAACCAGCAGTTGTACACATTTGAAAAAGTATAATCATTGAATTAGGAAATGTTTCAAAATTAAATAAAGCTGTTACACCAGCTGATTTTCTAACATAAGCAAAAAATGACATACCAAATATTGAATAAATAAACATGACAAGAAAAAGAAGAAGACCAATATTAAATAAAGCAGGCATTGAAACAGCTAATGCAAAAAGTAATGTTCGAATACCTTTTGCTCCTTTATAAAAAAAATTTCAAATTTCAAAATTCATATTCAAATCATATTTATTAAATCAAACAAACCTTTTACAAGACGTAATACTCTTCCAACACGTGCAACACGAACAACACGTAATAATGTTGGATTAACAATAAATTTCTCCATAATTTCTCCTAATACTTGTCCTTAAAAACAAAGAAAAATTCAATTAAAATAAATAAAATAATAACATACCAAGTATTGATGCAATTACAATAATAAAATCAAATACATTCCATGGTATAGTAAAATATTTAAAATTTAATGCAACTAATTTCATAAAACATTCAATTGTAAATCTAAATAAAATATTTAATATATATGATTAGAAATTTTTTTTGAATAATATATTTTTTATTAATTATTTATTTACATAGCAACAAAAAAATTATTAATATAACCAAGAACACGATCATAAGTAGGACTTTGATCATGATGTTCAAGACACATACAAAGCATATTAAGAAAAATACATATCATTATAAATATATCAAATTTTTGATTTGTTGTTAAATCAAAAAAAAATTTTGCAAGAGAAAACTAAAATAAATAAGAAGAATATATATAGAAATTCATCTACTTTTAAAAATTTATACTCTTGGTCTTGGTAATGCTTTAGTTGGTTTTTTAGTACCCATTTTTTTCATAGCATTATAATATTTTTTTTGATCATCTGTCATAAACATTTCTATTGAACCACCACCTCCTAACTAAAATTACAAAAAAAAAATAAATAAAATAAAAACATTTTATTATTTATTAAATCCAAAAAAGAAAACTTAATATTCGTTTTTGTTGATTAAAATTATCAATAACAACACCAATAAATAAATTAAGAGTAAAGAATGAACCAAATATAATAAATAAAACAAAATAAACAAGAATATAAACATTATGTTCAAATTCTGGTTGAACATCTATCTAAAAAAAACAAAATATTGAAAAAAGAAAAAGAAACTAATAGAAATATTTCTATACTTCTTTAGCATCTGTTGCATCCGCCATTATTTCAACCCAACCTTTGAAAGTTGCCTATTGAAAACAAAAAACAAAAATTAAATTATTATCATAAAAATTATAACAAACTAAACCAATTAAAAAAAAAACTATTCGCACAATCCCTGTAGGATTAAAATGTGAAACGCAATAAGGCATTATCATGGTTAGGTTTCAAAGATCATTCGTAGATATGTTGTACATTACAAAATGCGTAATAAACATATAATAGTTTTCTTAATCCTTTCACGATCAAGTTATTTTAATATATGATAGATCTCAAAATAGAGCACTACGCATGAATCAATATCGTATTTCCTGCATTTGTAGCTCGTTTTTGTTTCCTACTTCAAATCATGATTCGTGAAGGTGTGATGATGTCATAGCAAGGTGGCACAAGCAAACTTCTGTACTTCCGAAGTACCCGCTTTCTTTTTCGATTTTTTCCAAAACAGAACAAAAGTGTTCTGTTATTGGGAAATATCAAAAATTCTGTTTTTTGGAAACAGACTTTTTGATCTGTGTCAAGAAGTACCGAGAAGTACAGAAGTCCGCTTGTTCCACCTTGTGTCATAGTATAACAATGGCAAAAGAAAAGAAAGAAGAGAGAATGTACAAGTACATGTGTAAGCCCTACATGGCTAAAAAGCGTACTTTTTCGAGATTGTTTTTAGATAAACTGTCAATGAGCGCTGAACTTTTTGTATTAAAACTTGATGTTTACTGCAAAACTTTTGTCGCCTACACTCTATCCCTTGTCATAATAGACAGACCTCGTCATCTACTAACATCAATTTGAACTTCGAATACAATTTGATACCTGTATCAAAAGAAAAATGCCACCGTCCCATATATGGGACCAGTATTTTATCTAGGTTTCGTTTCCAGAGTGGGCGAGACGAAATTTCGGGTGGGCGGCGCCCATCCAGTAGATAAATCCCTGTATGGGACACCGGGTGCGATAGGATTAATCTTTTTTTTATTCAAAAAAATATTTTTGTTTTTTATTTATTAAATTAAATAGTAATAACTTACAACTTGAAATAAAGCTAAATATCCATTAACAACATTATCAAAATTAACTCGTGAATTTTCCCATGTAAAATTATTATTTAAACAATCAATTTTATTTGCTATATTTTCTGTTAAATTAACACGATCATGTGTACCAACATAAACACATTTATAAAATCTTCCACCAAATAATTGTACACCCATTATTGAAAATATTAACCAAAATACAAGACAAACAAGTAAAACATTAAAAATTGCTGGTATGGCACCAATTAATGCATTAACAACAACCTATTTAAATAATAAATGATATTAAATAAATAATTCAAATTAAGTATTTTTGTTTTTTCATACTCGCATTCCTTCAAATCTTGAAAGTGCTTTTAATGGACGTAAAGCTCTTAATGTTCTCATAGATTTAAATGCTGGTATATCAGCAACACCAAGCCAATCAAGCATAACTCCAAGTACACTAACAAGTACAATAAAAAAATCTAACCAATTCCAACCATATGTAAAATAATTTTTTATTCCATATGCAAACCATTTTAATATTAATTCCATTGTAAAAATAACTGTAAAAATTTTATCTAATACAACTAAAATTTTATAAAATATTGGTTGTTGTCGTGTATTTATATCTTCTAATGCCTTTATAATAAAAAAAACAAAGAATAAATTTTTTTTTTTGAAATATTTTAACTTACTAATGTTGTACTACTTGCTAATATACTACCAATAATAAGCCATTCAAAAAAACGATGTTCAACAAGACGATGAGCTCTACTACGAAGATATGTCCATCGTTGTCGAATATTTATTGGAATACATTTAATACAACAATTGAAATGTTTTGATATTATTCGAGGACAACAATCCGGTGGCATATGAAGATTTTCCCATGTAATAGAATTTATTGTTCGAATAGAATTATCATTCATAAGTTGCATTTCAATATCTTCATTATTCATAGCTGAATTATTAGTTATAATTAATGATGTATTATTTTTTTCAAAATCAATTAATGTTGGTAAAGGAATATTACTAATTAATTCTTGTGTTGCAGGACGAGACTATAAAAAAACAAAAATTCAAATAATACATATATATATAATTTAATATACTCGATTATAAGGAACAATTTCATTAATATTATTTTCTATTATTTTTTTTCGACGAAATAAACCAAATAAATGTCGAATTATATAACGAAAACATCGTTGAAAACGATCTATAGCTTCACCAATTTTATTGTCATCATCTTCTTTTTCACGTTCACTTAAAACATTTGAACCAAATGATGCAAGTAATAAAGCCAAAAATAAATTTAAGACCTATTAATATAGGAAAATATTCTATAAGTTTGTTTTTTCATAGGAACTAATAAAAATTCTGAAAACCAATATCTTTAAAGTAATTTTTCTTTTTTCGGCTATGATAATTCTATTCAATTAATAAATAAATATTATGTACATACCACAAGATTACCAATGACAAATGTAAACAGAAAAAATGGAATACATGGCCATCCAGCACATTCAAGACAAACCCACATTGATTCAATCCATTCACCACATAAGACACGAAAAACAATCCTTTGAAGAAAACAAAAAAAAAAAAATAAAGATTAATTTATTTTAAATGAATTAAAATAAAACATACATAAATGCATGAAAAAAATCAAAAAATGTCCATCTAGGCATTTCTTTACCAAATTTATCTGCATATCGTTGACCAAATAACTATAATATTATTTTAATTATAAATTTATTCAAAATTTTATTTTATTTACCTGCATTCCCATAACAGCAAATATAAATATTATTATAACAAGTACTAATGTTAAATTTCCTAAAGCGCCTATTGATTTACCAATAATTGACATAAGACGATTTAATGTTTGCCATGATTTAGCCAATTTAAATACACGTAACTTAATGAAATAGTAGAAAAAAAAGATTTAAAAAAAAATTCTATAATAATTTACTTACTAATCGAAATGAACGTAAAACACTTAAACCTTTTATATTAGCAAGACCTAATTCAACAAGACTAAGTGTAACAATTAATAAATCAAATACATTCCATCCATCTTTTAAATATTTAATTGGTGTCATTGCAATTATTTTTAATATAGCTTCAGCTGTAAAAATACTTGTAAAAACATAATTGCCTGTTGTTAATATACGTGTCATTTTTTCACTTTGACCAGGTTGATCAAGTGCCATGAATAATGTATTTAATATAATACATATTGTTATAAATAAATCAACAAATGCATCCAATATAAAAATAGCAATAGCAGCCTAAAAATAATTATTTTATTTTTGTTCTATACAATACATTTCGATTCTAATATGTTATAAAACAGAAAAAAAACAAGGATTATTAGACTTTTTTGGATAAGATACAAATAGTTCTAACGAAGGAACTTCTTTAAGTGTTAATCGTCGATCGATCCCATATTTTGCCCAGAAGTAAGACTCGATGAGAATAGAAGAAACTCGGAAAGATTCGTCCCCATATACTGTCCTTTCGGAGTTATGACTGTTTTACTGGTTTTTCGACCTCCCCACGGAAAAATTTTTCAAGAAAAAACCGCGAAAGTCAGACCGTTTATGCGGTTTTTGAAACCGGCGAAAACTGTGATTCGCAAATATCGCGGTGAGAACCGAGAAAACCGCGGTCCGAACTGAGTTTTTGCAGATCTAACCGTGGTTTCAACCGGTTTTTAACAGACGCATAAATGATCTGACTTTCGCGGTTTTTTTCGGAAGAATTTTTCCGTGAGTCTGGCAATGCGGTTTATATGGAAGCCCAACAATGAAATTTTGTCCATAAACAAGTCTCATGGTCTCTAAAATGTCCTAAAAGTTTCAGCTGAGATGAACCTTTAGATATTGAGTTTCCAAGAAGCTCGATTTTTTTGACCATTTGTCTTTGAAATATGATCATTCCGTGGAAATTCAATATCTTGAAAAAGAAATGTTCATTTTAGCTGAAAATTTTAGGACATTTTAATGATCATGAGACCTATTTATGGACAAAATTTCATTATTGGGCTTCCATATAAATACCATTGCTAGAGGTCGAAAAACCAGTAAAGCAGTCCTAACTCCGGAAGGACAGTGTATGGGGACGAACTTTTCCGAGTTTCTGCTAGTCTCATGGAGTCTTACTTATAGGCAAAATATGAGCTCGATCGGCGATTAACACTTGGAGAGATTCCCTCGAAACTCAAAAGTGACTAATCAATTGATCAACTTTCTTTATCAGAAGCATGTATCTCATATTTATATTTGATAAAAAGTTTGCTATATTATTACGTATAAATCAATTTTAATAAAACCTACTTGAAATTTTTGAAATATTCGTGATTGACAAGACCATTCGTAACAATAAATTCTTAGAAGTTTAACTATTGGTCGATCAAATGTATTACTTGAATCCATATCTGAAATGATAAGATTTACATATCTTTTATTCTTATTGTCTAATTATCATTTATGTTGAATGATAATTAATCAAAGAATACATTCAATACTAATGAACTATTTTGATCATTAATATAAACAATACAACTATTCTAAATAATCAATCAAAAATATACATATATACAAAAACTACTAACAAACATATAGTAAACAATAAATAAATAAAAATCATACGTGTATCTTTTTGATGTTGATTTTAAAAAAACAAGGATTAAAAAGCAAAGAGGAGAAAGAATAAACAAAAATCTAAATGGTTATATATGTATGAAATTATAGAATTCTTCTTCAAACAACAGGTAGAAATATATGAATCAATGTAAGATGTATTAGGATTCTATTATAAATTGACTCACTTTTTGATCGAATACTTGTTTGTTCTGAATGTCTAGCAGTTAATACATCAGTAATGGGTGCATATTTTATATGAGGTCTTGTTTGATATAGCTTTAAAATAAATTTACAAATAAAGAGAATAAAATATTTTTGTTTTTTTTTACTGTAACAGTTGAATCATTATCATGTTTATGTCGTTCAGATAAATAAGAAAAAGCTCTTGTTCGTTGACTTTTTCTATCTTCATTTGTTGAATTTTGTTGTGTATCTTCAAAAAATGGTATTGTTGTTGTTGTATCACTTGTTGTTGGATTAGAATAAATAAAACTTGAATTTTCAAATTGAAACATTGATGGTGATGCTTGTAATGATTCTTTATATTTTAAATCATTTTTCTACAAAAAAAAAAATATATATACAAATTTTGGTTTTCTTTTTTTAATTATTTACTTTTTGATTTTGTTCATATTCAATAGAAAGACTTGAATATGAATTTTCACGATTTAGATTTTCAAAACATAATACATTTTCAATATATTGTTCATTATCAATAGGTAAAAGTGCATGTAATTCTGATATTTTACGTGCTTCTTCATTTTGTTCTTCAAGTTCATTTGCAATTTTACGTCTTTCACGTTCTTCATTTTCAGCTTGAACTTTTTTTTGTTGTTCTTGATAAGACATTGATACAATAGCTAAGATTAAATTAACCAAATAAAATGAACCAAAAAATATGACAGCAACAAAATAAAAAAAATGATAACGACCAGCTGTTGTTAATATCTAGATTAAACATACAAAAAAATAAATAAATTCATGCTTTATTATTTTTTTTTTTACTTGTTGATAAAGATTTTCCCAAAAATCTTGTGTCATTAAACGAAAACATGAAAGCATAGCCCAACCATAACTATCAAAACTGTATCAAGAAAAAAAATTTTTTGTTTTTCTAGAAAATATAAAAATAAATTAAATCAACCTTGTATATCCAAAATCAGGACTAGAAAACAAAACAAAAAAAGTTTATTAATTAAAAAAAATATTTGTTATTACTTTTTGCCTCGATTTTTCCAACAAACATAACCCTGTGGACATCGTCGACTTCCACTTGCATTACCACAAAGAACAAAAATTTCATCTTCTTGATACCAATAAACTATAAAAATTGAAAAAAACAGATCATTTATGCGTCTTTTAAAAACTGAAAAATTTTTCTGTGGGCGGAATGTTTTTTTTTTTATTCATAAATTTATCTTTTCATATTATCTTAATAAATAATATTTTAACATACTTTCATTTTTAATTTCTTCTAAATAAGTTTCATATGACATATTAAATCCAATATTAGAAATATTAGAATTATTTAAAAATGATTCATAAGTTGGTACACATTTTTGTCGAAGAACACCCATATATAATTGTAATCCTACCTAAAAATTCAAAAAAAAAATATTATATTTTAGTGTTTTTTTTTAAATCTCAAACCAATGCAAATATTGAAAGAATAAAACTTGATAAAACAGTTACATCTCGTAAACAAATAAGTGATTGTATTAATGCATCAACAATTGTTTTTAAACCTATAATAATTAATGAAATAAATAAATAAATATATATTTTAATAATATACCAGGTACAACTGCAACAGTTTTTAATGCTCGTAATACACGAAATGTTCTTAATACTGCAACTTTTCCCAAATTAACAAAAAATGTTATATATCTAAAAAGACAAAAAAAAAAAGTAAAATATTTTTTTTATTATTTAATAATACATACGCAAGTGTTATTACAATAAAATCTAACCAATTCCATGGATCACGTAAAAATGTATGTTTTTCTAAAATAAATCCTCGTGCAACACATTTTGTTAATGCTTCAAGTGTATAAATTATTGTAAAAACATATCTATAAATTTTTTTTTTTTTTTATTTTATTAAAGAAAACAAAAATAAAAATATATCACATACTCATTTGTTTCTGGTACATTTTTAAGTGTCATAAATACACAATTAGTTAAAATAGTAATCATAACAAATGTACTAAATAATGAATGTGTTAATATACGTATAGCTAAATGTCGAAAACAATTAAATGGTGAAAATATAAAACAAGCTGATGTTGAACTAAATCGAAATATTGTTTTATTTCGATTAATAACTACAAAAGCCTATAATAAAAATTATCATTTTTTTTTATTTTACGAAAAATAAAAATTATTAAATAATTTATACATACATATTCCGTACGATAATACCAATCAATTTCTTCAATTGGTTTACCAATAAGTTCAATTGGAAATTTATTTTGTAATATACGTGGTAATGTTTGTCCAACAGCTAATTCTTTATTAGGCATTAATTTAGAATTGATTGATTCATATTTTAATGATTTTTTCATAGAACGATGTTCATCATTATCATCTTCATGTATTGTTTGTCGTTGTAAACGTTCAGAAGCAATACGTTCAGCTTCTTCTTCTCTATAACGTTCAATACGTCTTAAAGATTCATGAGTAAATTCGCGAAAAACAATCGAGTTGTAATCCATCCTGATTAATAAAATTTATTATCTTCTTATACATATCTTATTAAACAATAATCCATAATAAATAATAAAATATTAGTTTTCTTCTTCAACATTAATAATTAGATATGTATAAACAATATTGAAAATTCGATGATAAGATTTCTGTTTAATTTATTGACTTACAGATAGTGTTATATTTGACATTCAAACATTGATCAATCAATGATAATGATAAGACTCAATTGTTATAGTGACATCGGAATAAACATGCAATAAATAAGAACGAAAAACTAGATAAAAGAATGAATCGTTTTCTTTTTCTTTTTTTTTTCTATCTTATAAGTAATAGTTGTGTGTTAACGAATTAAATAGATTGATTTTATAGACAAGAATGTTGTACATCATGCAATAATGAAAAAAGTGATTTTTACATCTATTACCCATTGATTATTATCATTTCTTTCTTTTCGTTTCATCTTAGATCTTTTTTTTTTCTCTTTTAAACAATTGTCATGTGTAGAATAAAGAAAGAAAAAAAAACCAATGACTTTAGGGAATATAATTTTGCTATGATTTGCTAAGTATTTCAGAATCAAATACAAAAATATCGATGTATGTGTGTGTATTTTTTTTTCTTTTCTCTATTTATTAGTCAAATTTTATCAAATTGAGAACTTTTTATCAATCATTAATCATTATTGAGAGAGTTGTAGCAAAATTTATTAAGATTAATTATTGAACATGTCTCGCTAATTTAATATTGATATTCATTGTTATTGTTAATATTTATCTAGTTTTCCTATTTAGATAAGGTCATCATCTTAAGTGAAAGCAAAAGAGTTGTTTTTCTTTGACTAAAAGAAGAAAAAAAGAAGATGCCAATCGTAAGTGATGAAGAAACATAGAGAGTAACAATCGAATAGTCACGCATATGAGTCCGGATGATGATGAAGTGAACAGCGTAACGTTCCTAAATTGAATTTCTTCGTTGATTAGCATATCTAATAAATGCTTTGAATAATAGAACAATTCTAAGAAGAAAGCAAAAGATAAATTTATTGATCCGCTTAAAATCAAGTTCAAATCGTTCACTTTTTTATTATTAGTCAAGGTTAAAATCAGATAGCAAAACCAAAAAAACAAATGACATAAATAACGAGAACAAAGAAAAGACTAATGTTGATATATTATTTTTGAAATGATTATCTAGTTGATGGTTTAACTTCAAATCTTAGTCTGTCTTTTTTTTTTTTGTTAAAGATTCTTTTCTTTTTATCACTTGAGTAATAAAATAAAATGATTAACAATAAAAAAAACAAAAATTTCATTGTCTTTGTGCATGACATTATAGTAAATAAATAGAGATTTATTCATCAATCAATGAATTTATTTACATGCACATTGATGAACTACACAGGAAAGTGTTAGACATGAATGTCTTAAAATCTCTAGAGATAATATTCTATTGTATGTTAATTAATGTTGATCTATGAAATGAAATTATCAGAGATTATATATATTTAATAATTTATTAGAAATATTAAACTTTTACTATCATAATTTCAATCGCGAAAGTTATTATTATAATAAAAGAAAAGTTTTTCTTGATTTAAATTTAAAAAAGTTAATTTTTATTCTTTTCGAATTTCATTCATTCAAGATGATTTGAATAAATCTATGCATGTATATATATATAATACACAAGTTCATGCTTGTCGTTGTCACTACTGGTATCCACTTATTTCAATATAACTACTCGGCATTTTATGAAGAGTCGTCGCGACTGAAGTGTGCAACGAAACTTATGCATAAGTCAATAGTATTCAATAGATTGTGACGTATGAAACTTAGCTTATAGTTATACTTAATCATTCAACAATGTATTTCTTTTTTTCATGCTAATCTTTGAATAGTCAGAATTCAGTTGACATTATCCTGACTGACAACAAGGTATTGAATTATATCAAATTTCTATTATCACGTAGTATTAATTAAGACAAAAAAAATATATATATATCCTTTTTCTATAATATGGAAACATAAAATAATGAGTATGCATATTAAATAAAAACTAATTTATATGTAGAAAAATTTTTTTGTTGAATTACCTAATCATATCATTATATTTATGCATTAACACTTCTCTTATATAGTTTTCTTTTTTTTTTCTTCTTATCTCTCTCTCACTTTCTCACTGTTGTTGATCGATTTGCAAACAAATAGAAGCCGTAAGGATGATAGTACTATAGACTGAATGTTTGACATTCACACAGACGATGATGATGGCATCTTCTCTTTAATTGGTTGTAATCGCTTTCGTGTGTGCTTTCGCTTACCAGAGACTAAGAGCATATGTATATTACAAAAAAAAAAAAAACGACAGGAGATGATTCTTCCCAACAATATTATACATATGTATTCTACTTCTGACTTCTGATTTATTGTCTAACTGACCGTAGTATATTGAAAGTCGTCTATATTCATATAACTGTTATGACGTTGTAATCGACTTATAACGAAAGAAAAAAATCTTTTTTTTTTTTTTTTTTGAACATTAAGAGAGAAAGTGTTAAAATAAGAGTGAGATACCGTATTGAGTCAAAATCATTTCTGAACTTTTTTATTTTTTGGTAATGGGGAAGCCGAATTGTGATGACAGGTATACTTGAGGTTTATTTTACAATTTAATGACACTATTTACTATTTTATTAGTGAAATTTTTGATCGTATATCTTCACCATCAATAATATTATCACAACCAATCGATTTAGATATGAATTGGCAAGCAAAATTAAGTCAATCAGATCCAAGTATTCAATCACGTCAAAATCAATATATTAATCGATTATCGACAAATGGTTATAATTCACCATCATATAAAGTTTCAATTGGACATGAAACAGTAAATATAACAGAAATTGCACGTCATAATGAACCATCAACTAATCCAACAACAATGATACCATTGAATGAAAAACATCATGTTATTGTAGCACGAAAAGGTGCTGATATTCTTAGTTTATGTTTTATGAGTTTTGTTTCTGCTATTCTGATACTTATTGCTATATCAACAATGCATTTATTATTTAAAACAAATAATATAAATACTAGTGATATAATTCCATTTTTACTTCAATCAACAAATATAACATCAAATTTTTTATATATGTTTGGAACATCAAATCTATCAAAAGATAATGTATCAAATCTTTTTAATTCAATATATGATCGTACAATACGTGATTTAGCTATTGTTGTATGTTTATTAATTATTGTACTTAATTGTTTTTGTTTATTAATATTCAGTATTGAAATTTATCTTGGTTCTAATATGATAAATATTAAAAATACTTCATGTTGGTAAGAATATTATTATTAAAATAAAATTCATTTTGTTTTGTTTTTAGTTGTCTTTTTAGTTCTTCAACATCACATTTTATTGCTATATGTAGTTTTTATGCATCAATTCCAGCATTAATACTTGGTAATAAATTCTTTCAAAAAAAAACGAATTTAATGTTTTTTTTATTTTTTTAGTAATGTGTTTATTTATTTTATTAAATATGTCATTGATACCAGCAATTATTTCATTAATAATACTTGGTTTAGGTTTAATTTTTATTCTTCTTGCTTTATTAACATATTTTTCAACATGGCAAAATAATCATTTTTCAATTAAAAATGAAAAATTATCTAATATTAATTCATCTTTATATCGTACTATTGGTATGACACAATTAAATCAAGATGATATTAAATTAGCTAAAGCTGATGAAATATCAACACTTGTATAAAAAAAAAATAAAATATAAATGAAAGAATTCTTTTTAGATATATATTTGACATTGAAAAATCCTTTTTTTTTTTTAATTAGTTGAAATTTTGAACTGTATTCTTACAACTATGTTGCGAATCAATGTTTTTTTTTTGTTAAATCAAGAGAACCTATATATAATTAAGAATATACATAGCTGAAGAAAACTTGAGTTTTACTCAAGTATGTACTCATATTTGTCTTTTTCTAAGGGGACAAATTGACTTTTAGAACAAATGAAATACAACAAAAAAAAAAAAAGATTAGTTTGAGATTTACATCATTTGTTTTCTAATTAATATAAAAAAACGCCAACGCGTCTCATTTCAAAATTTTGATTAAGACAAATCTGAATGTTTTAGTATTACTTCAATAAATGATTTGAAGTACAAAGTCAATTATATAATTATTAATTTCTAAAAGAAGAAAAAAAAAAACAAAAATAATAGCTGCATTTCTTATTAATTAATAAGTGACTAGTACTTAAAATTGAATATATTTTTCATAAGTATTGTTAATTTTGAAAAAAAATCATAATTTTGTGTAAACATATAAGAACTTTCGAAGTGCTTCGACTTCCGAGATTTTCTTTTGATAATAAGAACAAAATTAATTGCTCAGGAATTCTTTTGTTTTGAAATGTTCAATATAATAATCTTGTCTGATGATTAATTAGTAAATCTCTTCGATTTATGAAGATAGAATTGAAAGTTCAATTCTAAGAAATGCATTAGACTTGCATCCTTAAGATCTATTCTCACATGTCGATACCGAAAAATTTTATTTTGTTTTATTCAAAAATTATAAATGTGACACTAGGCTATGAGTATGGATTATAAGTATGTGGGTCTAGTACACTTCTTAGATTTGAACTTTCATACATAGAACTGTCTCTCTTTCGAATGGTGAAAGATGAAGCTCTCTATCAAAAGTTATTTCAAAATTAAAGACTGACTGTCCGATGACTTTTAGACCATCAAATAATCAGTAAATAAATTGAAGGAGTAATAAATTAATTTCTATTCTAATAAATCATTAGAATGTCTTAAGAATATGAATCATGATTGGAAATATTTGCAAATTGCCGACAATTATAGAGAAATCAATTGAAAGTAGTCTAAATTATTGAAAATCTTCAGTAATAAGATTAACAACAAAAGATGATTTTTATTGATATTCTTACTAGTGGCAGTTGACTTCTTGTCATTTTTCTTCATTCTTATGCATATCTGATAATTCGTAGTGAAAATAGAAAAAAACAAAAAGCTGATTTTCAATGATAGAAATTCGTTTATTTTCTCTTGAAATAAATCAAACTATCAGTAAAAAAATTTAATATTGTATTTGTTCAATGAATTAATAATTTTGTTTTATTTTAAAATTAAAATATCAGTAACTGATTTAATTTATTCATGAAAACATTCATTTACTTATTAAATAAATAGTACTTATATCAGTAGTTTTTTCTTTTTTGCAATGAAGAACATTTTCGTGTCAAAAGAATTTCGTATTACACAATTTATTTTTCTTTCTTACACTTTAAGGTATTTTTCAAACGTTCTTTTCTCTATTGTGACTTCTTTCATCATATTTTCTTCCAAGTGACATTACTTTTTTATTTTAAGAGACATGAATGAATAAACTTTGTTTTCGAATTACAAATGTCTCGTATTGAAAACTTTCAGAACATTGTCAAATATGTATTTATCTACAGATGTTACTTTGAAAAAGTCATGATTTAAATATTGAACTATTTGAATCAATGATTCATTTAAAATATTGTATCGAATTTAATTTAAAAATGATAGAATATATTTGTGATAAGGAAATAAATGAAACAAGCAAAAACAGAGATAATAAAATTCGGTAAAGAAATGACATTGTAGAAACTGAAGCAATAGCAATAAAAAGTATATTTCATATTATTTATTATGCTAATACTAATTTTTTTGCTGACAAAGGAACCATACAAACTGATACCAATTATTTGAGTTTACATGAATTCTTGATAAGATAAGCAGAAGTCTACCAGGGTTTGTTTCTATTAGCCTTCCACATCGAGATAAGATGATGTTTATTAAATTATCAATAGACTTACCTATGGGCAAAATTTTACATTGAAATTCCGTTTTTGCGGTAAATATCTAACAGTGGCGTAGGGCCATTGGGCAATTGCCCATAGCTCCAAAAGTTATTGCCCATAATATATTTTTGAACTCATAATGGTTGTCCTTAGCTGCCCGTAACTCAAAATAGTTCGACTGATGAATTGCCCATGACTCAAAAATTCCTGACTACGCCACTGATATCTAAATTTAGATAGGACATTCAATAAAACAATAATAACCCGCCTCTAAAGATCAATGCGAACAATCCTATTTTTTTTGTTTTTCCGACATAGCATCACTATAGACCTCCTAATATGTGCCTAAAACAGTGGGTATCAATCCGGATGGTTTCCTCTTGAGTGAATACATACTGAGTAATTAAATATCAGCATATTGACTATCATTTCATTAGAAAATATTCCATACATTGATAATTGATTTTCTTTTCTATTCAATTTCTTTTTACAATATCTTTTATCATTGAACAATGAAAAACTTATCTTTGTATATATATATCACAGCAGTGTCACATATCCGAGATTTTGGAGATGCCGCTTCTCGCGCGACAGATGCGGGTGTGGGGGATGCGCATCTCTCAAGGTGATCTTATATCTCCGATGGGAATGACCGCATCTCGGATATGTGACCTCACTCATATATCAATAAGAATCTGTTTTTTTTTTGTCTTATTAATTTTTCTGTTCATATCATTTTTGATGTTTGATTGATAAACTTTTTAATCTTCTGTCTACTATAGACAGACATAAGATAAAACATTTCTTGATGACACATCAAAAAAAAAAGAAAAAAAAAAAAACAACACAAGAATCTTTTCAATATCTTCGAAATATAAAATAATTGAAAACTAAACAATAATAATAATAACTGATGTTACTAAGATACGTTTTGTTTTGTTTGTTTGTTTTTTTTTTGTTTGAAATTATGAACAACAAAACACGAAGAATATTAATTCAATAATACGCAAGACAGATAGAACATAGAAGAAAAACAAAAAACAAAAAAAAAAAAACGAAAGAAAGAAATACACGAAGCCAAATAGTTATGCATCAGGGGGACAGGAATAGTAACAATAACAACAATATGAATCGATACTGTTTTATGCCGTAGTTGTTCTTCTTCTCTCTCTCTTCATTAAACTCGATACACACGAAACAACAGTAATTACATATAGAGAAAATGAGTGAGATAATTTTTGAGATCATCATTCGCTCAATTACTCTAAAAAAAGCAAAATAAGACGAAAAACAAGCAAAAGCACTGTTATCGTGTACAAAAACAAAAGTAATGTTTAAAGAAACACACAAAAAAAAAAAAAAAAAACAAAGAATTTCTTTTTTTTTTTTTTTTTTATTTATTTATACATATCAGGTTTTTGATGGATTATGGAAGAATTTGGAAAAGAATTTTTGTGTTATTGTTCTTATAGGTGTTCGAGATGATGTTGATTGATTAATTAATGATTGAGAAGAATTTGATAAAGGATTTATTTCATGTTCATCTGTTTTTGTATTTTCACATGATTCTGTTGTTAAACTTTCTGTTGTTGATAAACAAGCTATTGAATGTGGTCGTATTGAACAAAGTATTGGTGATGAATTAGTTGATGATGATGATGATTTTCTATAATGATAATATCTTGTTAAAGATTTACCGGTTGTATATAAATGATCACGATCAATTGTTGGATCAATATCATTAACTGTTTTATTAGGTGGAGTTATAAATGTTCTCTCTTGTTGTTGTTGATTATCTAATGTATCTTTTTTTTTTGATGAATCTTTTTTTTTTTTGTTTATTAATGATGTTTGATTTTCATGTGTTGATGATGTTAATATAGTTGTATTAGTTAAATGATTAATTCGATGATTTTTATTAAATATAGGTAATGAATGTGGAACTTTTTCACCATCATGACTACGACGTACATGTATTGGATATTGAAAATTTTCATTATGATATCCATGTGCTATAAGACCATATTCTTTAACTTGTTGCATTTTAAGATCAAGTTCATGTATTAATGCTTTAGACATTGTTAAATTATCTATATGAATAATTGAACAACAACGACGAGCTATAAAATAGAAAATAAAACAATTTTTTTATATTTTGCTTTTCGAATAGTTATGAAAAATAAAAACAAAGATAACTTAAATATTTGATTAAAAAAAATGTATTTTAGAATAAGACAAAAAAAAACATTTTTTTGTTTCTAAGATATACTTGGAAAACTCTTGTGAATGGAATAATTTTTTTTTTATGAAAATATTAGCACTATACTATGTTATTGTCTTTTTTCGATTTTAGGTAAACATTTTTCTTTTTCATTGATTTAGTTCATTTAATGCAATGCAATTCGTTTAAATATAATACTTTTTTTGCGATAGAAGAAAAAACAATTCACTATTGCATGAAATTATTTTTTCAAGCAATGACTCGGATGTTAAGAAAGTGCGTACAAAGTACAAAAAAACACCTGGTCACGTCTATCACTATATAACGAGTGTAATGTCACGTCTACCGTAAAAGCAAACATATAAAATACTTTTCTATTTTCCATATATGCTCTAATTATGAAATGCATTCAAATAATTACGAAAAAAATTTATTTTCCAAATGTAAAACTGAGAGAAAAAAAACACATACTTTTCATATTTCATCATACGAATATACATATATATGAATATAAAACAGACATTTTTTTTTTAGATCTAAGTTCAAAAAGAACATAAAGCAACCACTCTGACACTTATATATAATGTTATTTAATCAGCATCGGCATTTTATTTACCTAGACATGAGTATTTTCATTTCAAAAAAAAAAAAAAAGAAAACGTTTTTTCGAGTTCTTATATAGTTTCTAACAACAATCGTCACAAAAAAAAAGCACTAACAAAATAAAGTCTCTAGAATAAGAAGAGATAACGTACTTGTTTATACACGTCTAGTAGTGATATGCGCCATAAACAAGTTTTGTTATTTCGTTCTTTAAAAGAAAAAAAACGAACTCAAAACCACAACATTATTATTAAACGCAATAGGAGATGCCACGCCCCTCCACATCTATCCTGTTTTATTCTTGCATATTATTTATCTAACATATAAGAAATCAATTTTCTATTAAAAGAACAAAAAAAAACATCTATGAATTCATATGAAAAACCACTCAAAAAAAAAGAATAATGCAGTAGAATTAGTATGTTCGATGTATTTTTTTTTATCTTTAGTTACTGAACTATAATATAGAATATTTGACATAAAAAGTTCTTTAAAATACATACGTGTTAAAAAATTTACTTGACGACGATGACGTTTGATTAATTGTTGTGATGTTGATTTAATATTATTATTATTATTATATGCAAATGATCGATGTTGAACCAGCACTGTGCCGGTAGCAGTCATAACGATGAAACAAACAACAGCAATGTGAACAATGAAAAAGAAATTCTTTGTGTAAAACAATAAAACATCGACTTGTTTGAAATAGATTTTTTTTTTTTTTTTGTTTGGGATTTTGTTTTTGTATTGAAATTAAAAAAAAGAAATGTGTTAAAGACGACGATAATGAAAAACTTTTTTTACATGCTCAGAAACAAACATCGAATTTAATCGATGATCTAAAATGAATAAAATAAAAATCATTTTTGTGTAATCAATAAATTATTCAAATAAATCGTACAAAGAAAAAAAAAAAGAAGGAATAGAAAAATGTTTATAAAAGAAAAAAATTCTAATGTTACAAATAACATAAAATAAGTCAGATTACTAAAATACTTTTTTTTTTTTTTCGAGATAATATTATATGTTCTTGCTTTCAATATAAAATCTCAAACATATATATATGTAAAAAGGTTATGGGAACACAAAAAAAAAAAAAAAATTATTTTTAGTAAAAGAAAAAACAACAAATTACTAAAATCTTCTAGACATGTCTGATAGAGGAAAAAAACATATTTAATCGTTCTTTACCAATATAGTATATTATTAATAGTTAAGCTAGATTTTTTAGAATAAACAATTTAATTGAAAAGTACAAAAGATAAAATTGATTATTAACACTTAAACAAATTCAATTTCTCTATGTATAAATATATATTCATCTTATTCATTCTTACCTCTATCAATTGATATGTCAGACGAATGGAAATTATTGCTTTTATTTCAATTTTACTTTCTAATGTCCATCTGTTTTTAATAATAAAATATGAACAGATATTTTTTTTTTTTTGATTAGAATATCTGTATATATATCATAGAAGATAATAAAAATAAGAATTTGTATTATGTCTATATTTTCTCAGGTGTTCATCTCGCTTCGTGTTACATTTTTGTTTTTTTTGGCAATAAAAAAAAAAAGAAAAGAAGTTTAGTTAGTCTAACAGTAAACGGAGTAAGTGACTATGAGTAACAGCGAACACGACGAGACGAGTGACAAAACGGGAGAAGCAAGCATACAACACAGTTAGACACAGACGTCTATTTTATTTTCTTCTTTCTCTCTTCTCAGTCGATTTGCTCTCTCTCTCTCTTTGTGTCTCTCGAGCGCTGTCTAGCCATCGCCGACGTTTTTTTTTTTCATGTATTGTGTATGTGTCTGAATCTCTTGATTTTTTTTCTCTCCGTTCTTCTTGCGTTTCGCGTCTGTCTGCTTTGTATATGTGTCTATGTGTGTGTGTGTTCTGGGTATCTTGTGATGATATAATGTATAATCATCATCATCTTTCTCTTTTTTCGATGCACTGCTGAGTATGTCTCGTCATGTCTATTTCCGTTATCGACAAAATACACCAGACAAACTCCATCACAATTGACTCCAGTTGTTGTTCAATGAATGATCAGAGTAATTTAAAAAAAAAAAAGAAAGAACCTATTGGATTCGACAATGACGCGCACTAGGAGAATGAAGAGGATGATGCCGATGAAATATCTATGATAAGTGATAGCAAAGATAAATAGACACACACACAATCAAAAAAAGAAAAGAGACGAACCACATTTTCTTTTTATCAAGTCTAGTTGACTTTGAGATATAAAATTTGTTTTCTTTTTTTTTTTTTGTTTTGTTTCAATTCATAGATCAAGATTTTCGTTTGACCTAGATATTGTAATCAGTTAAAAATTTGATTTCTTTCTTTTTTTTTTTATCTTTCAAGGTTCGATCAACAATATTCTTTTATATAATAAAATAGAACGAATAAATAAATAAATAAATGATTCATTTATTGATATGCTCTTGATCATAAATATATATTTTGTCTTTTTTTCATGTTGTCATTATTCAAACTAGACGAAATAGTAACAAATATAAGGGTCATCGTGATCGTAGACATGATTACAAGTAGAAACGAGAAAAAAAAAAAGAAAAGACGCGGAAATAGTATCTGAAAATATTGGCTTGTTAGATTTTCTTCATCATAAAGAAGACGAGATAATTATCAATTGATGCATTTTTTTTTTTTTTTTATGTTTCTTTAATAGTGATGTTTTGTTTTGACTCTACTTTCTAAAAAAAAACTAATATACAATACAATAACTGACATTATTCGAGAGAAAAATTTGATTTACATTAACGCATATTATTTTTTTATGTTCTCTGGTTATTATGACCTTTTGAAATCTGATGATAGAATAACACCAAAAGCAAAACAAAACAAAAAAAATTTAATTTATCGTATCTATATGGTCTTGTCAAATAACAAAGATTTTTATCAATAAATCATATCATTGCCTTTTTCGGTTTTTATATATATATATATAGAAAATATCGACAACATCTGTTTAAATACCCATAACACTAGCCCTTAGATTTTGCTTATATGATAGAAAAAAATAATATAAACTAGAATAAGTTATTTAATCATAATAGCTAAAATTTCAATTTAATTATGTACTAAGTTGAAATGATAGCTAGAACTTATTTTTTGTTCTTGTCTTATGTTGTTATTTGTCTGAAAGTTTTGCTATGTTACACTATCTAAAATATAAACGACATATTGAGATTATTTATTCAAACTGAAATTTGAAGAATCATTATTGATTTAATGTATATTACTAGACAGACACTATATTAAAAAGTAAAAAAAACCTTTTTTTTTTTTCTAAGTACTTAATACAGAATGACTATATACGGGAACATTTGAATGCTTCTCAAATTCTTCATACATTTAAGCGCTTAAGAGCACTATTTTTCATTCTGAAAAAAAAAAAGAAAAAAGATTCGTAGACATTTCTTACTTATTTCTTATTTATTTGACACTTGACATTTTCTCTGCTATCTATCATGTCTACCTACAGACAGAAACACAATCATAGAACAATTCTACATAACTCGTACGATTCACATGAAAGAAAAAGGAGATGAAAATGGAATATAATTTAATATATATAAACGCATTTGTATATGCTTCTTTCGTCATCATTCGATTTACTCACTTTGTATATATATATATATCTAGTCAGACAGGCTAAATACAAACATGTAACTACTAGTCGTCGCCGCCATCGACGCGCTGTCTAGACTGTGACGTAATTTATATTGAGTGGATGAATACGTTGGAGGAGAAAAAGAACAAGAGGAAGAAGAACAGAGAAGTTAAAATGGTTAATACTTCAGTAGTCTGTCTTGTCTCTTTTTCTTTTTCCTAGTTAGAATGCAAAGAAAAAGAAAAATATAAGTCATTTCATCAGCAAAAGTGACTAATGTCATATAAAATATTTAATATAAAACTTCATAGAAATAAGTGCAATTATAAAGAAAAAAGAAGAAAAAATAAATATTGAAGAAAAAGTCACACATCAATATTTTCCTTTTTGAATCTATTTTTAGGTACATGTATACCAAAAGGTTCATGTTCTTTTTTTTTTATATCCCAAGGTTTTTGATTAATATACATTGTAACACATTTACAAAAAAAAAAAATTTTATTGAAAAATATGAATAATTTTATATAATTTACATTATTATAAGGTGTTTGAAATTCTACAAAAAAAAATGATTAGTGTAGTATTTGTTTAAATATTATGTTATCATCTTGTTGGATACTTGCTTTTTTTTTGTTCTTATATTCTATACTGTTTAATAAATTTGAAAGTATGTGAAATAAATAAAACAAAATTATTGTAACTGTGTAAAAATCTGGATATTTTCAAACAAATATGTCTAATCACATTTATTTCTTTAACTTGAATATTTTTTCTTTATTTATCACAATACTTAACAAAAATAAACTCATATTAGATACGTGAAAGAAAAACATAATATATCTCCGAATAAATATAAAGATTTCCCAAATGTTTTATTCTCTAACGTGTCAATATGTAATAAATAATCAATATAAACTTATATTATCGATTTCTTTTGTTTTTGAATCATTGACAATGGCCTTGTAAAACCACAAAGACGCCTTTTTTTTTTTAATAAATAATATAGCTAATTGATTTTTTTTTTCTTCTATGCTATACATTTGTCTACTAAATATTTTTACGATTAACCTTGAATTGAACAGGTTAGACAGAGCCCAAAAAAAAAAATGAGTCTACGAAAAAAAAAAGGAGAAAAAAAAAACTCAAGCTAGCGCATGCCAATTATCAAGGGATTGAAGTGAACAAGCAATGGATTCTAGTAGATCTAACCTACATTTGCATATGATCGTGCACAAAAAATGCATTTCATATATTTATGTTTAATATTTCTGTTTGATTTAATCATTAAATTTACAAATGGTATTACAGAAAATCGTTCTAATAGTCAAATATTTTCATGGAGTACGAGATTCAAAAAAAAATAAAAACAGCAAAATTAATTTTTTTTTTCTTTTAAGGTTGTTATTTAAAAAGTCAACGTCGATTAGAATGTCGAAATTTATTTAATTTTTATTTTTCATCATATACATTATGTGGAAATGATAATCGTTTATTAATACGTCAAAATATTGATGAATTATATATTTATAATGATTATAATTGTTTTGATCATTTATATCAATGTTATTTTGAATTTGATTCAACATGGTTAATATGTTTAAATTCATTAAAAAAATTAGTTATTGAAAATTTAAGTTTTATTATACGAAATAATGATAATTCAAAAAATAAAATATCTATTGATTATCTTAAAATAGTTAATACACATGGTAGTATTACAGAAATGTTTAAATTTTTTCAATTTTCAAATCGTTCAAGTATTTATATACAAAATCCACATCCAAGATGGTCAGGAATGGATTTATATGCAATTTATTCTCAATATTCATCTGTTAGATTTAAACAATTATGGATTAATGTTCTTGATTGGTATCCAATTATTTATTTGAGATATGATCAACAAATAGCTATTCAACAATGGTTACGTCAAATTCCATGTATGTTAATTATATGTTATTTATTACAACTTTTTATAAAAATAGATTATAAAAAAAAATCTGCGCATTTATCACCTCGAAAAAAAAAACAACATATTATGTTCACTATTTTAACACTTAAGCTTTTGTTTGAATTTTCAAAAAGGACAAAAGAAAAAAGAAAAAAACAATAACCTAGAAAGCAAAAATCAACCTGTATAAAGAGTTCTTTTTTAGAATAGAATGACAAAAGGTCATTTACGTACGTTTTTATATTTTAACGCACTTTTTAATAATAATCAATATTGATTAACGATAAAGTTTTTATTAAAATTCTTAAACACCCCTTTTTTTTCAAATTGTACTTAAAAAAGAAAAATACAATGATCATTCATCACGTACATTATATATAAGATTCAAAAAAAAGTGGAAATTCTAGATATATGACCCATATAATTAAACTAAAAAATATACTTAAATTACATAGAAAAAATAAATATTGAAGTTCTACTATATTTTTATTTTACAAACTCATCTTTAATCATAGTACATTGCATCTGAGTGATTGTTGTCCTTATCAACGTATTCATATATTTTATTGTAATTGAACAAATCTTTCACAAACGAACTACATACTATACAAAAAATATTTATGCTAACGATAAGATCTAATATATTTTGTAGAGAATTTTTGTTTCATAATGAAATCTATATCATCCAATCTCGATAAATGCTCAAGATCTAATCAAAATACTTCATAATTATTCAGTGAAAAGGTTATTTTTTAATATTTCTTAAATTAACTAATCTAGTTTAGATAGAACACAAAAAAGCTTTTAGGTGTGATATCATGTCCAAAAAAAAGTTGATTGAAATTTCTCATTTCTTTTATGTATAGGTGTTATTGAACTTGTTTACGTTACCTTAATAATGTTTTCGTAAATAAAACTCTGAGGATTCATAATTCCCTTGTACCGCAAAGGAAATCATACTATTGACGTGTAATTCTCGAGAGTTCAGTATTTCATACAAGACTTATATTAAGATAATGTAAACAAATATAATAATATCTATGCTAAAGAAAATGAATTATTTCAATCAATAGACTATCATATCTGAAAAGAATTAATTGCATTAATGTCCTACAAACATAACTGATTCTCTTATATAAAAGAAAAACATTTGCATCGAATACTCAAGCAGACAAAAATTTGAAAAAAAAACGCATAAAAAGGAACCGCAATTGTAAGCCATTCATGCTAATTATTAAAACGATCAAAAACTCGTATTTTGAAGCGTTTAAACGCTAACAATACGAGTTTTTTGATCGTTTTAATGCTCTAAAAGTAATAATATCATGCGTTTTAATAATTAGCATGAATCAGAGATGGACAAAATCGCACCGCGCCTCTCCGCGCCTAGGCGCTACACACATCTCTGTCTCTCTTTGCTCTACCAATCAGTTTCTCAAACTCCACCGAATACCGGGATGCTCTAAGCATGCGCTCATCGAAGCTCAGACTAGTGTAGCGTAGGCGTGAGCAACGGCGCGGGGAGGCGTGGTGCGACTTTGTCCATCTCTGGCATGAATGGCTCACAATTACGGTTTTCTTTTACACGTTTTTTCAAATTTTTGTCTGCTTAGAGAGTGATTACACCACTACAAACGCATAAATACATTAATGATTATATCTCAAATTGTGCATCATTCATAGAGATTTGAAGATATAGGTTTTATCTTCTACAAAAAATTCACTACTAGATTTTGATGTAAACATGGTATATATATTCGACAAAATTGTTTTTTTTTTACTAATTCAACCCTGATACGCCACCTGGATCCCAACTAATTTCATTTAAGTGTTATTCACACACAACGTCAGACCAAATCCCGTCTCTCTAGATATGCTCTAGTGAAGATTAGTACTAATATGCGGCTGACGTCAGCTGTTAGTCATGACTAGTTACTTACGTGATAAACTATCTCGAAGTACGTGTGAACGCTTGCTGTCCACCCGGACCCCACTGAAATTCATTTTAATGTTTTGTAATTGTAGTCTGAGATAGAGTCTTGTCCTTCCATGGACATTTTAGGGACATCTAGTAGAGTACGCTGGTAACAACAATCAATCAAATTAACTGCTGTTCTTCTTAGACATAAGTCTTCTTCACAACTATTATAGTTCTATTACAAAACAATGGCAATGTAGTATATTGTTTCCGTTTTATCAGACTGGGGTCCGTACGGACCTCCGGTGGTCAACAAGTGGTGGTAGTCCGAAAGGTAAACGTTTCTGGGTTAAGTCTATTCTAAAAACTTCTTAACAAAGATATGAAAATAATCTATTCTTCTAAATGATAGGATCGAGTTTTCGAAATACTATGGAAAAGAAAAAAAAGTTTTTGTTTCTTTTTTTAGGTCTTCATATTGAATTAGGTGATTGTAGATCATATCATTATGATATGATATATTTACGTGATGTATTTGATTTACGACAAGAAAATTCTAATGAATTATATTGTACTATTAATCAAAATACAGAACATTCTCATTGGACACAAGTTCCTGCATTAAATTATAATTATAAAAAACCAATACGAACATTATCTAAATTATTATCATTAAAAGAATTACAAGAAAATTGTTTTGATCAATTTACAAAAAGTAATTTTCTTATAATTAAAACAAAAATAAAAATAAAAATCAATTATTTAATTTTTTTATTTTAGAACAATATACAATTAATTCTTATACTGATCTTCAAGAATTTTATTCATATTTTCATATATATGAATCATATACAATACCATTATGGACAATATATCCATATGCAACATTACCAAACTTACCAATAAGTTCAACAAGAAAAACATCAACAATATTATTTAATAATCAATCAATATATCCATCTAAAATAGATTATATAAATATATATGAATATGGATTATTATTTAATCAAACACGTTGGTTATCATCTATAGAAACATATCCTGATGGTAGATTTATAATAATTGATAATCGTAATCAACAATTATTATTACTTAATGAAAATGGTACATATATAATTGATTTAACAACAATATATTTTCATCAAATACAATTAAAAATACATGAACAATATTCACAATCAACTATTAATAATGCTTATTCATATTCACAAATATATATTGATCAAGATGGTTATAGTTATTTAATATCAAAACTTGCTTATTTTATTTATATATTTACTCCTGATAATCGTCTTATACGTTATCTTACACCACAATTATTAAGTATATCTATTATACGTAGTGATTGTTTAGCTATAACTTATACGGGTTTAATTTATATATGTGATGATACATATAGAGTTATAAGAATTTATACACGTATGGGTGTTCCTCAACGAACAATACGTTTAAATTATTTACCATTAAAATTATTCATTAGAAATAATCGATTATTTACTTATTCAATGGAACAAACTGCTAATATTCAAATGTATACACTACTTGGTATACATATTCGTACATTATCAATGTGTTCTTATAGACTACCAACAGAAGTAGTCTGGTTTCGTGGCAAATATTTTTTAACATGTGGTATATATCTATTTGTTTTAGATGAACAAGGTGAACAAATAGCTGAACATAGTCTTCATACATTACTCGATTATTCAAATACATCATTAATAATAAATGATTTTGCACTCAATAAAAATGGTCTTTTTCTTGTTATATTTCGTCGTAATGGTACATTATTCAATCGTTATTGGATTATTCGACCAACGACTGTCTAAAAATATAATTTCGAAAAAAACAAAACAAAAAAAGCAAAAACAAAAATTGAACTTCTTTTCTTTGTTTTTTTTTTTAATCTTCCGGTCATATTAAAATAGATTATTAAGTAATATATATATATAACGTATATGGATGTCGTTTTTTCTTTTTTTAATCTTTATTACAGACGATCGTATATAGGAGAAAGACGCAAAAAAAAAAGTAAAAAGAGAAACCATGGCACCGTGTGCTTATATCTGACAAAAGAAAAAAGAAAAAAAAAAACATGGTAACCGGCACAGTTTTCTGAGAATAAACGATCTGACATAATAGGAAAGTGTGAGACACAAAAAAAAAATAGATGATATCACGTTGCTGTACACACACACAAAAAAAAGCGTAAAAGAAGAAATCTTAGCTGTTAATACACCACCGGTGAGAAAGATACCATCATCATATACTCAAAGGACAAAAAAAAAAAAAAAAAGAAGAATCAAAGCAACGCACATACACACACACACTACTGAAAAGGCGCGATATCGACTTAGAAGTTGTTGTTTTTTTTTTCCTCGTTGGATAGAAGAGAGACCTGAGCAAAAAAAAAAAGAATTATAGGAAGACACTTTTTGTTTTTAATGAGTCGAAACGCGAGGAACAAAATATATATATATATCAATATTCGCTTGTCATGGATACATCATTGATTGTTGTCGTTGGTGGTTGATATTGTGCTGGAATTGGTGGTGGTCCCATTGAATAAACATACGGAGGTGGAACATAAGCATGCTAAAAAAAAAAGGAAAGTATTCTTCGATTATTTTAATAAATTAATCACATACACCATTAATTATATGTCCATTTGGTTGATGAGTAGGTGTTTGTGTATAAAATGTTGGATAGAAAGATGGTGGTAATTGCTAAAAAAAATATATATATTTTATTTAATATTGATTTTTTATTTTTTGTTACCGGATGATGCGGAGGTGTTGGACCTTGAGGTATAATATAAGTACCAGCCATGGGAACAAATGGCATCTGAATATTTATGATTAATTTTTATAAAAAAAAAATTTTTTTTTTTCATTATTCTTACATTTGCTTGTACAGGTACAAATATTGGTGGATAAACAGCATGTGGAGTTGACATTGGCTGTTGTTGATGATGATGATGATGATGATGATGATATGGTGTTGATGATTGTTGTTGAGATATTCCATTTAATGCTATTCGTGAAGGTGTTTGTGGTGGTGTTACAACCGAACCATTCGTTGAATAGTAAGATGTAGGACCTAATATACATAATAATATTTACGATATTATACTAACATGAGAATATATTCATCTGTTAAATGTAATACAAGACTTTATATTATGATTAAGAAAAGGATTTATGATGAAGAGAATAAGGAATACTTGAGTGTGTGTGTTTTGTTTTTAAACTTACTTGTTACTGATAGAATATTATTTTTTTTATAAGCAGGTGCTAAAATTATTGTATGATTTTTAAATATGAGTGGTGTAATATCATGTTGACGTAATATATCTAATGCAGTATTTTCATTAACAAATGAAATGAATGCAAAATGTCTAAAAACGATTGAAATCATTTTATTTCAAAAAACAAAATAATGCAAATAAACATACGTATTTTCTTTTGCAATGATTTTTACATCATGTACAATACCATATGATTGAAAAAAATCTTCAATTTCAGCACTAGTTGTCTTAAAATAAAGAGAATAGAATGTTTTGTTTGTTTATTTGTTTATCTTACTTCACGTGGAAAATTTTTCATAAATAAACGATTAGCAATTAATTGATTTTGTCGTGGAATTTTTGCATCATTTAATTTATTTATAAAATTAATATGTTCTTGACTCAGCGTTTTAGTGCCGGTCGTTTGATTTATATCCATTTTGACACAACAACAACAATAACAATAATAAAAAGAAGAAGAAGAAAACAAAATAGAATGATAAAGTAGATTTAATCTAGAAAAGAATATATTTTCTTTCTTTTTCTTTTTTTTTTGTTCGTCCGTCGTGAATCTTAATAATTTTAACAAAATGTTTGGTTAAAATACTAATCGAACTTTTATTCAATCATAAGATTTTTCTTTTTTTTCCATATAAATGCATTAATGCTTTAAATTAATCTGATTGGTGATCCAATGAATAACTATTAAGGTCTATAGATATATATATATTTTTTTTTAGTTCGTTGGTATATTTCTAGTATAAAAAAAAAAAAAGTGAATTCTTCTCATTAATATCGTTCCAATCGTAATTTTTTTTTGTCTTGATTTAAAAAAAAAAGAAACAAAACAACAAAATAAAATTATTTATTTCTGAGATATATTTTCATTATGATATAATATATATTAATATGAAAATATAAAAGAATTTCATCATATATTATCTTCTTGTTAATTATGGCTAGTTATTAAGTAATATTAAACGAAAAGAATAATAATCGATCTGATGTAAGTCATATTCATTTCTATAATAAGAAAAATATATTTCATTTATATTATTTAATATGAAAAAAAAACAAAAAATCTATGATATGTATTTAATTTAACCTGTAAAAACTGCGGACACCTACAAACATGACTAAAGCTACAAGTAAAAAAAAAAAGATAACGTTCGAAACGAATAACACTCATTCTGAGCTAAGCTTTTTATTTTCAACCGGAGTAAAATTCTGACACTTCATTACCACTATCTTTTACAATCAAAATCACTATGAGGGTAACCACAACTATCCGTGGTTATTACAGGTAGTTGAGAAAACCTGATTCATATTGCTTCCGTGATGTTCACTTCGGATTTTTCCAACAATGATCAAATAATGAGGAAAATTTATTTTAGTCTGTTTAATATTGTTGTTATCTTAAAAAAATATTTTAATATTTAAATAATAGAATTTTTCTTCTTTTAGCCATCAAGAATGAATAATATCGATCAAACACATCTTGCTCGATTACGTCCAGAAAAACTTGATGATGCATCTGTTCAAGAACAGATTTTATTGGTATATTATTATATAAATTAGTTTTGTTCTTTTTTTTTGTTTTTTTTTGTTTTAATTTAATCTAGATACAAAAAGCATGTGGTAATGTTAGTCTTGATAAAATAGCCCTTGTCTTTCATGAATGTGATTATAATATGCAACAGACAATAAATCGAATACGTGCAGGAGATTTTGAGGTAAAAACAACAACAATAGCATTTATTTTATGTTTACTTTTTTGTATTTTTCATAGGATGGTGGTTGGCAAACAGCTAAATCAAATAATAAAAAGAAAAATCATAATTTAAATGATCAAAAATTGAATGGTAATAATTTAAGTGATAGTGAACGTTCTCTTTCTCAACGTACATCTCCAACTTCATCAATTCGTGGTGGACGTCATCGTAATGATTATTATCAATATTCAACATCAACACGTACAAATATTGGACGACGCAGTAAAATCCTTTTTTTTTGTTTAATTAAAATTACAAAAAAAAATTTTTTATTTCTTAGGAAATGATTTAAATCGAAATCATTTTATTTCATCTAATACACGTTATTCAAATCGTAATAAATCAATACGAACAACAAATTTATTACAACCAATATCTAAAGAAATAAATGAAGAATTAATACAAATAAATTCACCATTAACAGATGAATATGAATTTATTGATGGTATACCACAATCATTAAGTTTTGATAATAGTCAAATGAAAACATCATTACAAATATTATCAAAACATCGAATACCATCAACAATACCTCAAGAACCTGTATCAATGCATCCAACAATACAATTTTCAACTGAACCAATTGATATACAATTTGGTGATGTACAATGGAATGATTCCATACCAATTGTAGTTAGTCCATCTAATAATAATAATAATACAGTTATATCAACAATAATAGATAATCATGAAAAAGATCTATCATCAAATGTAAACAATAATCTTCAACAAGAAAATCAAGAGTAAGATTATTTACAAAAATAATATATAATCGAACAAAATTTTCTTTAGAATATTAATTAAGAATTATAAATCGATCATTTATTAGCTTATTCCCTAGACTGAAAGGATTGGATCTAGAAACCGAAATTCACCTGTAACACTTGATACAAATGGCCATTTACATGGTACAAAGTACCAGTGACGGATCCAGGAGTTTTTGAACCGGGGTGCGGTTACGATAAACATACAATATGTTGGAGAAAAATCGCTAGAAAGTAGCATGAAACCAGTACCAAAGGGAGGGGCGGTCGTCCCATCTCGTCTGCTATAGATCCGCCCCTGCAAAGTACCATAGTCAAGGTACAAGTGACCATTTGCGTGGTACAAAGTACCATAGTCGTAGTACAATTGCCTATTTTCATGGTACAGATGACCATTTATTTGATATCATTGGTCATTTTCATTATGCAGATGACCGTTTCTATGACTCAAGTCTAGGGAACTGCTAAATGGTCCCGGTCCCATGGGACCAATTTCGGGACCAAAAATTATTTTTTACGGGACCGGGACCGGGGCCAAAAAAACGTGGTCCCGCAGTTCCCTACTCAATTCATCATTTCTATGGCACAGTTGGCCATGTTCGTATTAGAAATAGCCATTACTTTGACATGAATTACCATGTTAGTCGTTATAATTAACTAAAGCATAAACTTTATCATATATATTAGTATCTTTCAATATTTTCTGTGAACTATTTGAATATATCTATAGTATGCAATATAGAATATGTTACAAATATTAATAATTTTTCCTAAACTCATCAGAATTCATTTTTATTTAAAAATATAAGAACATCTTTGTCATTATTTCGTCAGTCTAAGGCCAAGTGAATCGACATTCAATATACTTATAAATAATAGTTCTTAGAAAAATTTTCTATGAATTCATTAATATAGAAAAGATTATTTTTATTTTGAAATTTTAGTATTTTATCATCGAATTATATAAATCATCAAACAACGAATAATAATGATAATTCATTACATGAAACAACAAATCAACTTTCATCATTATCACTTACTGATAATAATATAATTGTAATTAAATTTTTAATAAATAAATAATTTTCTAAAAACTTCTTTTTTTTTTTCGCTTCTTTTAGTCGAATAATTTACCAATTGTTATTCCTCCTGAAAGTGGTACATCTCATTTATCTGATCATTTAACTGATACATCATCATCTATTCCAACTCAATATTCATCTCAACAACAAATTCCAATAGCACATTTACCACCTACATCAACACCACGTATACCTGAACATACACCAACAACAACAACATCATCATCTCAATTTATGGTAAATAATCTTCAACAAACAAATAATGGTATTACATCATCAGCATTTACTCCATTTAATGCTCTTGTTAATTATCCGTAAATGTTTTTTTTTAATTTTATTCTTTTGTTATGTTATTTTTATATGAAATAGATCTATACCAAGAGATTATCCTCAAACAACAACAAATTGGAATCCACAAACATCAAATTATAAAACAACTACTAAACCAACAGGAACATATCAACAACAACCATCATATCAAATACCAACTCAACAACAACAACAACAACAACAACAATTTTTTCTTGGAACTTATCCATATGCTCCTATATCACCAGTAGTAAAAAAAAAACAAAAAATATTAAATTTAATATATTATTATTATAAAAATTTTAGGTTCTTCCTATATTTGCATCAATTGAACAATGGCCAACAACTACATTTTCAACACCAATTGAATCTTATCCATATACAACTACTAGTAAAAATAAATTTTAATTTATTTTTTTGAAAATTTCTTATTTTTCTACTATATAGATTATTTATCAACATATCCAAATCAACAACAATATCATTTACCAACAACTAAATATGGTTATATATATTATTATTATTTAATATAAATTATTAATATATTTTATTTTATTTTTTTTTAAGATCAATATTCATATGATAAAGAATATTTTACACATTATGGACAAACACGTTTATTAAATAATGATATATCATATCAACAATCAATAAAAGATACACATTCAACAAGTAAATTATCACCAAATGCTGCTACATTTTGTCAAGGTGCTCCATTAACAGCATCACCATCAACAGCAACAACTCTTTATTTAAATCCAATTGGATTTTCTATGCCAAATTATTATCCAACAGTAACTAATTCAATACATCAAGATCGAATATTATCATATACTTCTCTTGATAATCGTGTGAGTAATTTTTTTTTTTGTTTTTGAATTTTATTTATAATAAAATATTTAATAATCTATGCATGATTTTATATTAAGTATCAAATAAATAAAGTTTTATGATTGAGTACAGTTGATTACGTTCTTTTTTAATATTCACGTATATAATTATAAGAATATTCATAACGGGAAAAAAAAAACAAACTTTACAATTGTTTTTGATTTATAAAATTACGAATTATAATCTATATCAGACTTGGAACCGGTCAGATTCTTTTTCGATCGGACCGGACCTGCCGGTGTGGCTTTTTCGACCGGTCCGGACCGGCCGGTTTGGCTTTTCCGACAGGACCGACCGGTTTGGCATTTTCGACCGAACCAGACCGGCCGGTTTGGCTTTTTCGGCCGGTTCAAATTCTTAATTTAACCGGCAAAAAACCGGTGCGTTTCATGCATCAATTAACCAATCAGTACTTTCGAGAAACAGTCTATTACTTCAGTTTGACGAAGATATACGATGTCAAACTCATAGTTCTTAAAGTTTCTAATAGTAACAGCTCGTATTATAGTTTGTCACGTTTCATGTGCTAACATTAAGAAGGAACGATCATTTCTTTCAAAAATGTTTGATTTAGAACTCAAGCAACTAATATAGACCAACATCTAACTATGTTTTGACTGACTTTTGTCTATAACGATATGAATTCTTTACAATTGATAAGTTTAATCTATTTTTATTTGAAATAATGATTTTAACACAGCTGAAAGGTATTTCAATCCGCAAAAAAAGGATGCTACTGCAGACAGAAAGATAAGATGAGCGAAAACGTATGGCTTTCATATTAGACTTCCTATTTAAGGTTTCTTAATAACTAAGTATTTTCACAATTACATGATGGCAGTAGTCCACAAGGTCTTGACAATGGAATTTAATCTTTTCTTATATTTTATTATGAAAGCATGAACTGAAAACTACTAACTATTAGGATTCTATGAGAGTGAAATAAAATTAGTCCAGAAAAGTGAACTCAAAATTTTGAGACGAAAAATCTATAGTTTAGACCGATATTAGCTTCTAATATCTGACTTATTTTTCGTGAACATAAACAAATTCATTCAACATGCTCCGAGATCCTCATCCTAGGATGGAAAAGTATTAGCCAATATTTAAAGCTGGGATTTCGACAATGATTGAAAATTTATCAGTTGGAAACTTCCAAGCTCATATCCCTTGATCATTGAAATCATAAAAACCATTAAAAACGAGCAAAATATGCAAGTTGTAGTGCCCCAAAAATTTTTAAAAGTTCGACCGGCCCGGTCCGGTTCCAAGTATCAGTAGCGGATCCAGGGAGGAGAGCTTCGGCCGCACCCCCTTGAACGAAAAATATTCATTTTTTCCTAGCGTAAATACTCATTTTTAGCCCTCCACACGCCCATTGAAAATGTTTGCTGCACTGTACCGCATCTCTCTAGAAAGTTTGCTGGATCCGCCCCTGTCAAATATGATCTATATATGTTTGAGATGTTTCATTATGCTATTGAATTTCTCAATGAAAAATTGTAACTTCTTTCAGATCATATAAAAAATTAATTTTCGAATTCAAACTTTGCATTAAAAAAAAAAATAGTTCTTCATTTCTAATTTTTCTTATCTCTTATAATGATATTTACACTTATATAATTGTCATGAATAAATATTAGTAATATTTCTTTCTTTATAGGATAATCGTAATGGTGCTTCATATAGTAGTACTAACAATCGAAATAATTATTATCATTATGGACAACAACAACAACAGCGTACACATAATAACAACGGATCAAATTCTACTTGGCATTTGCAACAGTAGTGTTGAAATATGATCATCACAACTGTTGTAATTGATCATTTTATTTTTTTTTTCTTTATTATCAAACAACACCTTTTCTTCTTTTTTTTTTTTTTTTTGTTCTTCATATTCAACTTCGGTCTTTTTGCTTCTATTAAAGAAACCAGTGCACAACATTGTTTAATTGCATACAAAAGCCAATATTCAATGTTAGCTATTTTCTTTTATATGCATATATATATATATATAAATAAATATTATATTAAAATAAAAAACATCTTGTATATCTCGAAAGAACAAAAAAAAAAAAAATAAATGTCTTCTTGCCCTTATTTATCTGTCTCTTTCTTTTTTTTTTTTTGTTGGTTTTTGACATCTTGTCTCACTTCCTTCTTTCTTTTTTTTTGTGATAACGAACATGTTCCTATTTTAATTTTTTTTTTTTTTGGTCGAAAACAAACAAAAAAGCAAAACACCATATAACATTCATTTCATTTATTTTTTTTTTCTTTTTCATCTCATCATTTTTATTGATTATTGAATTATGAACAGACAGAAGAAAAAAAAACAAAAACAAATGATATAATTCCTAATAAATAGAAGACAAACATACTTTATTTATTATAGATGTTTAATAATAATCTTAATTGGGATGGAATACCAACAAAAATTAAACGAGCTATTGAAACAAGTCTTGAACATTTGAATGAACATAAATTTATATTAAATGATACAAATATAGAATTTATTAATGATTATTGTTGGGATTTAAGTAAGTAATTAAAAGTTGAGGATCTGTATAAGGATCCATGTCGTGCAAATCATTGATTAACTCTTGATTGGATATCAATTGAAATCGCACCTTTGGCTAATTACAAATCCGCCTAAGTCTCTGACACAAGCCGCATAGGGCTGTTTTCACTTTTGATTATTTGCTATCCGATGCTACTAGTGGCGAAACCAGGTGGAGGGGCTCAGCTGGTCGAGCTCTAAGTAGTGGCGTAACCAGGATTTTCCGGTATCCTGGATCTCCATCAGAGAGCATGGGTCCTAAATGAAAACTTATGTACATTGATATTGGACTCAAGTGGTGAATTTCTATCGGAAAAAAAATTTGAATCAAGGTTTGCAAAAAAAGTTAGCATTTTCCTGAGCCCTAAAAGAAAATGTTTCATGTCTTTAATGATATGTCGTTTTCAAGAATGCCATCGAATTTCATCGATAGATTTCAAATTTCATTTAAAAAAAGTTGATCCATTCAGAAGTTATGATGTTTTTAAGATTCGAGACGTTTCAAAAAAATTTCACCAGGAATTGAAAACTGCACAACTTCTGAACGGATGAATTTTTTTAAATGAAATTTGAAATCTGTCGATGAAATTTGATGTAGCTTTCGGTAGCATTCCTGAAAACGACATATCATTAAAGACATGAAACATTTTCTTTTAGGGCTCAGGAAAATGTTAATTCTTTTTGCAAACTCTGATTCAAAATTTTTTCCGATAGAAACTCATCATTTGGGACCCATGCTCTCTAACAGAGATCCAGGATACTGGAAAATCCTGGTTACGTCACCAGATGCCACCACGAAAATATACATAGATTTATTCGACAGAGATAAGTGTGACGCCGTCTAACGAAATACACTATGAGATATTAAAACCAGCTTTTTCAAGAGAGAAAATATTAATTTAATAAAAGAATTATAAAAAAAAAAACCTTGATTAAACAGTTTGAACTGTCAGGCATGAGAAGAAGATTTCAATAAACTCAATAAGAAAAAAATGATAATTGTATTTTATACGTTTTTTTTTAATAGTTACATGCCATTTAAAACAACTTCTTTATATGAATATGGCACATAATAAACTTAAAAGTAAGAATAAATATATTTTGAAAATAAAATATTTCATTATTATTTTAGATTTACCATCGCAAATTTCAAATCTGATACATTTACAAACACTCAATGTAACAAATAATCATCTTGAGGTAATTATTATTTTAACATTTTGTTTTTTTTTTTTGAAAATGTTTAATCATCAAATCGAGAATATTTTTTTTGTGAATGATATAAATTTTGTTTTTCTTATTGTAGAAATTACCTCCATCAATTATTTCACTTTCGCATTTACGAATTCTTAAACTTGGTCATAATCATCTTTGTTCATTACCACGTTCATTTGGTTCACTTAAATCTCTTGAAATTCTTGATTTAACTGGCAATGATTTAAATGAAGATAGTTTAACAAATGACTTTTTTCAACTAAGTAATATATATATTTTTGAGAGTGTAGCACAAGTTTTACGACATTCTCTATTTTGTATATAACTCTTCAACGTTGATTGTGTTTTTTTTTCAAAAGATCAATGAAATTTTATAATCATGATTGGATAGTCGCCCAGAATATACGAGATACTTTCTCCCGCTTTTTTTTTCTATTCGATGACTAGTGTACTTTACACATTTCTAAGTACATTAGAGTCCATTAAGTGCAAAATTTATGAACCCAAAACCGACCGAATATCCAGAATGAATTGGAAGGGTTCTAATTATTTTCTACGAAGAAAAATCGGAAAAGCCGATTTTGTGATTAATACCTAAGGTCATTTTTTAATCAAATAAATGTTGGACTGTTGTACAACAGCAATACTGATATCTTTCCAACGTACTTTCATTTGAACCTAAATTTCCAATCGATCGAGTTCACTATTTCCCGATGATATATTTGAGAGTAGTATAATAATAAAAAACGTATTATTTCAGAACAAAGTACCCAGACTTATTGATATAAACGTTATATTTTTTGCCCTTGTCTTTAAGATATAAATGAATAATAATCCTCATACTTTAAAGATCTTATAAGTAGCTTCAGACATTATTACCAAAATCAAAATTCAACAATTTTTGACTTTCTATTTTTGTTGCAGAAAATAATATATTCGATAGTATATCCTTTGTAAACAAAAAAGTAATCAATGTTTTATCATGTTTTTTTTTGAACAGAATTATATACACAACAAAAAAAAATGTCGTAAAAACTTTTTGTCATATATATGATGTATATATAAATATTCATATTTATCTATTTGAAGATAATCTACGTGCATTATATCTTGGCGATAATTTATTTGAAACATTTCCAAATGATCATATTGATAAACTCCAAAACTTACAAATAGTACGTAAAAATATTATAATTCATTTTTAATATATGATTCATATGATGTATTAATTGATTTTGATGTTGAATTTTGTAACCATATTAATAGTTTAGGCCAATAAACTTGAGAAAAAAAATAAAGATTAAATCCAGCAATTAATATAAATATTAATAAAAGACGACCAAATACTGTTTTAAAAAAGAAATATTTTGCATAATAAATAATATTAGTAAATGTTGGATAACGTATAACATGTGATAAATCACGTCGATAACGATATGGTTTATTGGAACGACGTGTTCGTTTAGCTGTTGTCTAAATTAAATATTAAAATTTTTTTTTTTTTATCTCGAAAAAGAAATTTCTACATACAATATTTGATGATGTAGAACTTGGCATTATAAAATTAGTTCTTTTTTTTGTTTCTTTTCAATGATTTGATATGAAATCATTCATGTGAGACATAAACATTTTTTTTTTGTTTTCTTTCTTTCAGCTTGTATTGCGTAATAATCGTCTACGTCATATACCAAAAGAATTGGCTCGTTTACATCAATTAAAAGAACTTCATATTCAACAAAATCAAATTAATGTTTTACCACCAGCTTTTGGTAAGTAAAAGGAAGAGTTTTTTTCTAATAAAGTGCTGATTTCTAAAAAAAAAATTGTTCTGATTCGTTATAGTTTTGACGAATAATTCAATTTTTAACATTCATGAAAGAGTATATAAAATAAAATTCAGAATTATGAGAAATTATTTGCTAACTTTAGAATGAATAAGAACGAGTTTTTCAAAAAAAAAGTCAGAGTATTAAGATCAGTTGTGATGTAAATGATCAATAATATTAATGTATATGTTTTATTTACATAGGAAAACTTGATTTGAGTAATGTTAAACATATTTATCGATTTGAACCAAATCCATTTATACCTCAACTTGCTTTACAAATGAATAATTTAACAAGATTAACTAGTTATTTACAAAGTGATGCTTATCGAGAAATTTATCAAAATTATTTTATAAATTTTGATGATAATGAACCAAAAGAAAAAATGAAAAAGATAACAAAGAAGAATAAAAATGTTTTAACAAAAAAATAAATAAAAAATTTTATTAATTTGTATTTTATTTGTAGTATACTATTATCAGATAATGTTTTTTTTTTCTTTTTTGTTAAATTTTTAATTTAATTGTTTTCTGTGTGTTTTGTCAGATGCATGAATAAATGATACTGAAAAGTATAATTAATGAATTACAAGAATCTGATTTAAATAAATCTCTTGAATGTTTAACAACTGGAATTGCTATGTTTAGAAGCATTACAGAACATGTCATATTAAAAAGATAGATAATTCTTTATGTCATCAATTGACAAAAATATTATCATCAAGATAAACAACAATGAATAGAGATAACTATGAAATTATTAGTCAAAATGACCTCTCTTTTTTTTTTTACTCACGAGATAAATATCTTGATGGTAGTTGGTATTATTGAATAAAATGTATTTGAAAATTTTCATATAAATTAGTTAAAAAAGTAAGTGTATGACATAAAATGGTAACTGAAATTGGGATAAAGAGTTAAAATGAAAATCATTACTTTTTGAGCAGGTTACACTTTAAATTTCAGTTCATGGCTACTTGCTACATATCAGTGCTTGTGTCAATAATTTTTTCCGCTAAATCATTCTGAATATGATTAATTTCTCGTACGATTTGTTTATTTGTAAGTCGGAAAAGTAAATTAATGTATTTATTTTTTTTCAGTTGAAAAATGTAGCAAAATAAGTTCGAACTCGTGGAAAATGTTCGTTTTTTTTTGAAAAATTTTTAACAATTTTTTTTCTCCTATGATAGATATTCTCTTACTTGGTTCTTTGACATCTCTTTCTGGATATTGTAAAATTCGTTCAGTTCTATATCTCATCGTTTTTTAATAAATCAATAATTGTATTAATGGTGGATTCAAAAATATACTTTGTTTCTACAAGTAAAAGTACTAATAAGTTTTTAATTGAATTGTTATTATTATATTGAGCAAACAATTGCTGAGCGATTGGTAATACTTCATTTGATGGTTTTATAATATATGGAAAAAGAATTGAAATAATGTCTTTTTTTCCTTTTTGTATCAATTTATCGATAATAAATTTAAGAATTAATCTAATTTTATCATCATCTTCATCGAGACTAATGAGTGTGTCTACGGCATTTGTTAAATACTTGTTTCGAAACTCTTCGGGCCCATAAAATGATAATCTTATTGATGCAATAATTCGATTATAGAGATCTTCAATATTATTAAATGTTAAAATTAGCTCGTCGACTATTTGTTGAATGAATAATTGATGTTTTACTTTTTTATAATGAATAATGCTGAAAATTTTTTCAAATAAAAAACTTTTGACATTTAACTTTTCAGTTAATTCTGGTAGTAAATCTTGAATCTATCTAAATATTTTGACATTATTCCAAAATTTAACAATATAACTAATGAAATCAATTCAGGATTTCTATTGAAATATTCTTCTTTAAAGAAAACATCAAAAATATGATTCACTACAAACAATACATTCTTATTAATATTCTCTAAATAATTCAAGAATGCTAGTGGTATATCATTTTCATTATTTAATTTAAAAAGTAAAAATATCTGTCACCCATGGGGATATGCTCGAACAAGTCTATAAGGTTGAAATGCATCACTCGTTTTTAAAAATGATCAGTTTTGCTGATAGCAATGCACTTGTTCGAATAATAGAGTGATGTTATATCGAAAATCAAAAGCCGCTTCAACTAATGTTTGAGTACCCGTCCACTATTGGCTACTAAGGATAAATAAATTGTTTAATTAATTCGATCGACAGTAAGCAAATAGTCATCAACACCTGCTGTGTCACTATCGAACTTCCTATTAAAAAATCCTCAAATTCTTCATCCGTAATCCATCTTGACTGATATGACATCGTTGAAGTCCGTCTTTCAATAATCCTTTCCAATGCGCAACTTCTTGTTTCCCGTTTGCTGTATGCATAGATACATATCTGTACCAACAAAAATATCACTGCATGATTTAAAACTATATCTTCTTTAACTTTTTGAATTTCATCAGCCATTCGTCAAGTTTATGATTCGAATTTTATATACATCTAAAAAAAACCAGTGTAATATGGTAAATATTTCGAACGATCAAAAACAATAGATAGTTAAAAACTCTTTTTCATCGTTAAAGTGGGACTGCCTCCAATATTTTAACGTCATCAGCTTACGTTTTTGTTGTACGTCTTGTAGGTACACTACAAATGCAAGCTTTGGCACATAAGATTAGAACGAACACATACTTGTATATATAACGAAAAGTTTTGATAGTAAAAGAAAATGTCTTCTATTGTTTCAAACACGCGCCTACATATATTTACTTTGAGCAGGAGCACGACATTCATCAAATAAAAAATCGAAAATGACTGATTCCTTTCTTGCTAGAGAAAAAAAACAATAATTTTCTTCTTCTGCTTCTGACAGTTGGCATAGGTGTGGATAAGTGCCTTCCCTTCATGCACATTCATACTTTCATATTGATTAGTAAAATTAAAATAAAAACAATTTTTTTAAATATATAAAAATAATATGTTCTTTATATATCAAAAGATGCAAAGTTCGATGCATGTTTATATCGGCAATGAATTTTTTGGGATTTTGACTTTTATTTTCAATAAAGACTCAACAGGTTCTAACTGTGTTTATATAATAGCGTCCTCTTTCGCTAGACGAAGGCAAATGTTTTCATCGCGAATAGCAACATTACCTGTCATGGTTGTTCTTGGCTTTCATATTCTTCTATCGTATTCTGTCTGAAAAACACTTGATGTCAAGTGAGCTAGCAACATAAATCATGCCATCATTATAACACAATATTATTATAATTAGCTTATTTTTTTTTTATTATTCTTCATTTCTTTTGTTTTTTTTTTCATCTGTCTTGTGCTTAGATTGAATACTTTATTAAATAATCACGGATAATGGCTGCATCGAATACAGGTGAAACTGTTCGTGTCATTGTACGATGCCGACCTATAAATCAACGTGAAATAGATTTAAAATGTCAAGTAAGATATTTCTTGAAAAAAACAAAAAATCTTTCAAGCATATCTAACAGATCAAATTGTTTTTTTGTCTTGTTTTAGACAATAGTTTCTATGAATACACAAATAAATCAAATAATGTTAGAAAATATTGAACAAACTAATGAACCACCAAAACAATTTACTTTCGATGCAGTCTATCCAGTAGATTCTGTAACAGAAAATATATATGCTGATTCTGTTTTTCCCTTAGTTGAAAGTGTAAATTAAAATATAATTGAAAAAAAAAACAAAAATTTATTTTTATTTTTTTCCTTCCAGATACTCGAAGGATACAATGCAACAGTATTTGCTTATGGACAAACAGGGTATAAATTAATTTTCTTGTCTTATAATAATAAATAAATCAAATTAAAATTTTAGATGTGGAAAATCATATACTATGCAAGGAATTAATACACCTGGATCGTTACAACGTGGTGTTATACCTCGATCATTTGAGGTAAGAATTGAATTTTTTCAAATAAAATTAATATTCAAAAGAGAAAATTATATATAAGAATTTTGAAAACAGAATTATGTAAATTGTTTTTTGCTTAGTAATTAAGTTATTTTTAGCATATATTTGAAGCTTCATCAGTTGCAGCTGGTACAAAATATCTTATCCGTGCATCATATCTTGAAATATATAATGAAAGTATTCGTGATTTACTTGGTAAGGATGTTAAAGCAGCATTGGATCTTAAAGTAATATAGAATTATTTCAGTCAAATTTTTTTTTTTTGTTAATCTATTGATTATTCTATTTATCAAAAAAAAAAAAAAGGAACATGTAGATAAAGGTGTACAAGTACAAAATTTAACATGGCATCAATGTACAAGTGTAGTCGATTGTGAACGATTGATGGATAAAGGCAATAAAAATCGAGTGACAGGTGCTACACTTATGAATAAAGATTCATCACGATCACATTCAATATTTACTATACTAACGGAAATGTGTACACGAAGTGAACTTGATGGAAAAGAACATATTCGAGCAGGAAAACTTAATTTAGTTGATTTAGCTGGTAGTGAAAGACAATCAAAAACACGTAAGTATAGTTTTTTCTTTAATGTAAAATATTTATTTATTTTGCAAAATTATAGACGCCGAAGGTGAACGTTTACGTGAAGCTACTCGAATTAATTTATCACTTAGTGCCTTGGGTAATGTTATTTCTGCTTTGGTAGATGGTCGTTCTAAACATATACCTTATCGAGATTCAAAATTAACACGTCTTTTACAAGATTCACTTGGTGGTAATACAAAAACATTGATGGTAAAAAAAAATAAATAAAGAATTTTACCAAATATGATGATCTATCGTGAACTAGGATACTGTAAATATAGTTTTTGTTTTACAATGATTTGAGACGTACCAAATGATAAATACTCAATGATTCTATTAAAAAATTTTATCTATCAATAATCAGCATATTATCTCTAATGAATAGGGAACTGCAAAATGGTCCCGATCCCGCGGGACCAAAAATTATTTTTTTACGGGACCGGGACTGAAACCATTTTTTAGCTGGTTCCGAAAAATTATTTTGAATAAAAAAAGAACTCAATTATCTTTTCAAGTCGATGGATGATCAATAATTTCTTTTATTATTTCATAAAAAAAACCGATGTTTTCAAATATCTATTAACATTAACATGTTTACAATATTCACATATAGACAGATATTAGACGATTTATACGAGCAGAATCAGAAATATACACATTACACGGCGCACACTTATGTGTGACACCGTAATAAGTTTCTTAAAATTTTTTTTTGTGTTCGTTATTAAAAAAACGGGATCGGGACCAAAAAATGTGGTCCCGCAGTTCCCTACTAATGAGCTGATATAAATAACTTCTTTGGAAATGAAAAAAGAAAAAGGAAAATTTTGGCCTTCGCACCCCTGATGAGAAGTACAAGTAAAGAGTTGTCGGAAGGAGGTCTGTTATTTTGATTATTTCTTTTTCAAATTTATACTTTGAGTATTAAGAATTAATTTATGCATGAAACTCTAAAAGAATCTACAAATCATCTCATGGCTTGGAGGTCAAAAAAATCATTTCTTATATATCATTTGATGCATCACAAATTATTACAAAAAATCGCACATATAAGATCCGAGTTCAAGATAGATTCTTAGTTGTTTTTTTTTTTTCTTTCTTAAAATAAAAAAATATCTATGATAATAGATCGCTGCTATAAGTCCAGCACATGATAATTATGATGAAACACTTTCAACATTACGATGTAAGATTTTTCTTCACTATTTATTACTTAAAATATGAAAAAACAAAAAATTTAGATGCTAATCGAGCAAAAAATATTAAAAATAAGCCTCATATTAATGAAGATCCACGTGATGCACAAATGAAACTCTTACAAGAAGAAATAAATCGTCTTAAACAAGAACTTCTTAATGTTGGTAATATTAATCATGATAATCAATTATTATTATCTGATGAATTAGTAAGTTGATTTATTTGTTTATCATTTTCTGCTAAACGTGTATGTTCATCAATATCTAAAGCATCCCATGGATAAACAATCCATTCTCCACCAACATTTTCACCAACAAAATAACAATCTTTCATTATATATTCTGGTAAATTTGCACGTTTAGGTATTGTTTTGTTATGTACAACAAAAATACCTAATTTTGGTTCAATCCATTCTTCATGATTTTCTTTTGATAAAATTCGTTGTTTTTCAATATCTTTTTCAAGTTCTTTTATAGCATAACTTAATGTTGTACGTGTTTCATCAACTTCATCAATAATAAGAATATTTTGACCATTTAATGATACAGCTAATGGATCATTTTTTTGATCTGTTGATATCCATTGTGTTTTATATATTTCATGTTTTTCACTTTCATATAAACATAAACCAATTGTTTGTATTGGTAATGATTTTCCACCGATTTCAGTTTTAATAAAATTACGTAATATTCGTGTTGGTAAAAATCCACCAGCACTTATAGCAACAAGAAGTGTTGGTGAAAATTTTTCAACAAGTTTTGTACGTTGAACAGTTCGACGAATAATATCATGTAATTGATTATAAGAAATAAAGATTTTATTCGTTATTTTATTGTCTTGATGCGACATGTTTCTTCGTATCGAATATTATGTGAAAATGATGATATATGAATAGAGAAAATAGAAGAAGAGAAAAATAAGGGTAAAATGTTTCTTTTCTGTAAATATTTTATATCTTAGGCAATAAAAGTCGACTATGATGACGAAATTGAAAAAGAAAAACAAAGATTACAAGCTGAATTCGAACGTGAAACATCTGAATTACGACGACAATGTAAAGAAGAACGTTTAACTAAAGAAGAATTACAACGAAAATATAATGATTTAAAAGGACAATATGACAATGAAATAGATGCACTTACCTATAATAAAAATAATGGAGGAGGTTAATAAAATTTATATATCATTTGAAAATAAAAAAGATTATAAATATATTTTTTATTTCTTATTAGATCAACAATTACAAACAATAAATAATGATCGTAATAAAACTAAAAAGAAAACTAATTCTAATAAACAAAAACATAATGAACAAATATTAATTAATGATCAATATGAAAATGATGATAATATATCAATATCTCTTAATCAAATGGATTCACAAGAAAAACTTCAACGTTTACAAGAATTAGAAAAAAAACTAATTGGTGGTGAAGAAATTAATAATGAAGAAAGAAAAAAGAAACGAAAAAAAAAATTAAATGAAATGCGTGAAAAACAAGAACAACGAAAACGTTTTACTAGAGCTATTGATACTAATGATGATGATATGATGATGAGAGTATTTGATAATGCTCAAGAAGAGGTTTGTTTATATCAAAATGTTTTTTTTTTTATTATCGTAAAAATAAGAATAATTAATAGCAAAGATAAACTAAATTCTCTAGAATTTAAATGTAGAAAATAGAACTACTTACAGTGGTTTAGCAAAAAAAATTGGAATAAACACTTGGCTTATATTAACGCCTAAGTTAAACATATTGAAAAAATATTTTTCGCTATTTCATACACAACAGTTCATAGTTTAATAATATCGTGTTCACCTCTCCTTTTACTTCAAAAGCTAAGTCGCATCTGTTTTGCATGCTATTTTACTAAACTAATTACAACATATTCTTTGATATGCGTTCATTTTTTCGTTTGTAAAAAAGTCTTTAGTTGACTTGTATTTTTTAGTTTTCTTTTCTCAACTCGATGTTTCACATATTTCAAACATTTTCGACAGGATTAAGATCCGAGTTGTTGAGTAACCAGTCTAAAATATGAGAAATACTAGTGACGACTAGTATTTCTCATATTTTAGACTGGCCGTCAATCCGCGCGAATTTGAATCGGACCGAAAATGATTGAAATATTATGAAACAATCAATAGACATTGGTTTTGTGACTTTTCAGGTGATTCTTTGAGCGTGACTTTGTTATTTCACGTTATGAACTAATTCCACACTCGGCTGCATATAATATCAATCTTACGGTTGCCTATAATTTACCCGCTCGATACTTTAAAGAACTTTGTTTTCTAAGCTGTTCCAGCTGATAAATAATTGTAGGCAAAAGTGTGTTTGTAGCTCGATGAGTTTTTTCTTGCTGAACGAATTCCCTTATTTCAATAATATAATAGAGAAATATGATATGGTTTCATATTGTTTGGCTTTACCATATCGAACTCTACTTTAATAACGAAAAACACAAATCGATGAAGTAAATGAATAACTTTAGTAAATACTCTACTAAATATAAATCTACAATAACAGAAAAAGATGTCCTCAAGAAAAGTTTGGAAATGTCAAATGTCTGTGTTGAGGGTACTCGGTAATCATTCTATTAACTCTACCAAAAAAATACTAAACTATCGTAAAGTTACTGTTTTACAAATATTTTTCGTTTTTAATCGTGTATCCTAAATTTCTCTGTAGACACTCCTACAGATTATTTTTTGTTTGAATACGCGTGTAAAGTAGTAATGCCTACCATAGTATAGATCTGAAAATTTCGTATGATTAGAATGTATCTGGCATGAAATCGATTTTTGAAGAAAGAAGTCTCAAGTTCTATAGCTAGATAATTCGTTTTTTCTCACAGATTGTTATTAAAATTTTCTTTCTAGAAGACAAAAATTCTATCATATTTGACATTTTGATCAATTTATAAAAAAAATTTTTTTTGTTTTTCGTAGAATTTCACATTTTCAAGTTAAATCTTTTTCTTTTTTCTATTTTAGCTTCATTTTACATCTAAAAAATTAGAACAAGTACATACAGAAAATAAACGTTTAAAAAACGATAATGAAGATTTACAACATGAATTTGAACGTGATCGTCGAGGATATTTAAATACAATACGTACACAAGAAAAACAATTACTTCTTTTTCGTGTAATTCTTGAAAAAATGAGTAGTACTATGCAACGTAATTGTAATTATACAAATATTGATAAAATTATTGAACAAGCTCGTTATGATGAAGAAAAAAATGAATATATTGTACCAGATCCAATCAAAGAAGAAGTTCAATTTCCACATGTTGGAAATTTACCAATAACAACAACTAATGGACGTATACTTCAAAATGATTTTATTACATCATCAAAATCTTTATTACCACCACCATCAACTGATTATGATTATGATTATATTATACCATCTCAAACAAATAATATTTATCATAATCAAATATCGAATATGAATTCTGAAGAACTTGAACGACGTTATGGACGTAATATTGATACAACAAATATTTCATTTGGAAAAATACGTAATAAACGACAAGAACAATTATTAAATCAAAATGCTTTATTACATAGTACAAAAATACATCCATTACAAATGAAGAATACAGATAATGATTATATGAATCGTCGTCTTAATCCATTTGATGCACCAACACGACTCACACGTAAATATGGTTTTTCAACAGATAAACAGTGAAAAAACAAAAAATAAACCAATGCAGAAAGTATTTTTATATTCCCGGTGATTGATTGGTGACCTCGGCTTTTTTTTTTTTCGATTTTCGCAATTTTTCCAAAAGAAAAGCTCTATGCTCAACAAAAATGTGAATATATTTAATCAATTATATTCAATACATTTTCGGTGATATCACTATCATGCTTCAATCATTTTTTTGTTCGTATATTTGAAAAATATACACAAATTTTGTTCTTTTTTTTTATTTTTCATGTAATATCTATGTCAATCTGCTCATATTTTAATAAAATTGTCATAAGTGTTGTACGAGTTAACATGCTCTGATATTTATCTTTCTCTCTAGTATCACAATCGTAGGTTTTTGCTCTACCGGAAGCAGTACCACCTTGGAGGACAATGTGAAATCCAATTGCACTCGATTGCGAAATTTAGTACGAAGATACGAATGTCGATCATCAAAAAAATTAATTTATCGTTTAATTATCTGTATAATTCATTAGTTATGTTCAGTTATTCTTGCAGCGAAAATGAACGAAATGAGCTGATTGAATAGACTGGTGTCTAAATTTTTTATGCTGTCTTCATTTTAATCACCTTAAAGTTTGAAAAACGACAAAGTCCACAAAAATCACTGCCAGAAAATGTTGACTAATAAAATCAAATCTTCTAATGCATTCTGCACTGTATACCACATGACTGATTTAACCACGATTAAGTTGTGTTTTATTTTCATAAAAACTACTTCATTCATTTGCTCATATATTCAGCCGGTTTATATGAAAAATTAAGCTGCTTTAGTTTTCTGCTGAATGGTGTGTGAACATGTAAGGAACTCTATGCGGCGTGTGAGTGTGGGTTTTTTCTTTCACTACACTTACACACACCCCACACCCACACCCTCAAGTTGTGTTAATATTGTTATTAGTAACTATTTTGATATTTCAAAACGAAAATTTGAGACCTAAGATTGTTTTTAATTTGAATACACTTGATTTAAAAAATAACTGAAATTGAATTTAACGCAATAGGAATTTCGATTTTATGTTCGCAAATGAGAAGACACGGACGTCGGCTGATACGAAAGAAAACAAATTGTGTCGAGAAATACGAGTCGTAAGTCTAAAACTTTTTCTTTCAAGTCTACGATTATGATTGTCGCCAAAATCGATTCCTTGAACTGTTTTACGCTATCAAAAAACTGCTTGCTAATCCAATTGATAATAGTATCGTTGAAGAAATCAACAACATTCATGTGAGTGAAACCATTATATATTTTACATTTCATTATACTTCAATCGATTAATACTGAGCTTTTTGAAATTAATTTCGACCGATGACAATCAACTGACATCAATAACAATCAGCGTTCTTTGTTCACATAGAGGACCTCTCATAATTATTCACTCGTGCTTATTTTCAATTTTTTGCACTACCGTTAATGTTAAGATAATTGATATACACAAAGAAATTAAAAACAAATCTTTCTCTAATTCAGTTTTGAAGAATTTATATCCAAAGTTTTGTTAGGGTCTACCAATCTTGATAATAATGCAACTATGAGTGAAGATGATACTTGGAGCAAGACGCTTGCTGATCCATGTAGACTCTTGAACTTCAATGGATACTGCTCAATGATGATACATTGACAAATAAATGGTATTTTAGGGGAGGCTTCGACAATCGAAATCTTTTAAAGCTCTCCAGTATCTAAAAAGGTTTTGATTTCATTTGAATTCGCAAAAAACTATTTTCACTTTATATAATACTTTTTTCAGTAAACCTTAGCGTATTGTTCAAATAAATGTCTTCTATAGAAAATAGAAATTTTGAATGATTTTTAAACATATTTGCGTCCTGAACTGTACTAATAAGAATCCGTACAATCGTATTAAGTGCAGATTCTTATTCATCACGAGAGTGTTAGAAAATGAAAAGCCATGCTAGTTTTGAATGATACAATCTCTAAACAACAAAAGCACGAATCGAGTTTTTTCATCTAATATAATTCTCGAATACAATTTTGGTTGAATCACTCAAGAAGATAGAGCAAAACGATTCTGAACAGGGTGTGTGACAGTGAAGACGCCATCCACGTCCACACTCATTCTGATTCTCGATCAATGTCATCATTTTTGTTAGGCTCTCTTTATCGATCGAATAGTGATAGAAAGGGTTTTTCTTGAAAACTTTTGATCCACATTTTAAGATTCAACAATAAACTATTTGAGAGCAGTGTAAGAATGAAGATATATCCCAAGTGGAAACTTCACTAACATCAAAAGCAAGATAAGAAAAAAAAATTCAGTGAATAAAAAATAGATTTACCAACTATGACTCAGGATGCATACTCTTGAAGATAAAGCACGATATGAACAGTTAGTTTTTATTTTAATGTATGTTTACCTGTAGTAATATATTTAGTAAGTAAAAATGTTTTTCAATTTTTACTTTATTTACATTATTAGCACTCCCATGAAAAGCAGAAGGAAGAGAATGGAATTAACCATTTTTTTGTTTTTTTTTCGTTCTGACCAGGAGAACGAAATTCGCTGTAAATGGAATCAAAGAAATATAAAGAGTCTGTGTTACCAGCGTATGCAGCGTAATAACACTTCAATCATTGTACAGATGAAAAGCAAACGAAAGTTGGAAAGAATAACAAAAAAATAAATGATGTTGTTGGGTTTTTTCTCTTTCGTTTGTTGTTTGCATTTCTGTTTTTCAATTGAAACTCAAATTTGACGTCGTAAAAAAATCTAGATAAAAAAAAACAGAAGGCAGCGACTATAGGGTATGAAATTTCTCTTTGAGATTCTTTTCCACTCCGACACAAATCTTTAACATTTCATTTGACACAGTTCCATATCCCAATCATTGAAACTGAAGTTCAAACCATTCTTTATATAAATCTTATTTAAACCAATTGAACGTTGCCTAGTTGTCATCATTCTTCTAACCAGTAGTATTACTCTTTCTGTTTAGCAGGCACAAACAGAATTAAAGGTTTTTTCTTATCAAGAATCTTACGTTGCAAAATTGGTATCTGCTTAGTATCGACAAACTATCATTCTTGCAAATGTTTAACAGTTATATGTCTTGTGAATTGATTTTACGGCGTGCTTGATCTTCTCAATGGTCTTCTAGTCTAGAACTAATGTCCAGAGTTTTAAAAACTCCGATAGTATATGAGGGTCTCTTTCGTAGAAGAGATCGACCATCTCTCATCAAAAAATGATTTTTTATGGCAGTGTTTACTTATGTTAATAGAGGACATTCTACCAATATTCGAATGATATTCCATAATGTCTTCTCGTAGTTAGAGTCCTTTGCTTTGGAGAGATCTTAAATTGTACACATGAATGTTGTATTTCTATGCCAACATCCCCTATAGACATTTTATTGCTTTCGAATCTTAATCAAAATAAATGAATACTGTGTCGTTCATCACTTTGATTATTCTTGATTTCTGATTAATCATCGACTGCTTTTTTAGTTCACTGTAACCAACTAGTAGATACGGATTGCCTATGAACTACGGCTTGAGACCCTATTCCACTGACGTGCCCATATGAAGGTATATGCGAAATGAACTATGAAGTCTCTCTATCATATTCATTTATAGATATAAGCGAATCAGCTTCATCATCAACAATGTAGTTGCCAACTAAAAATAGAACTAGAGTTTTAAACTATATTTATTCTCAGTTCAAGTTTCGGAAATATCGTTCTTTCGTTTATTAGTAGTCTATTCTATATCATTCTCTTCCTCAATTTTTCAATATAAACATTTTTTCAAATAAAAAAAAACTCCTGAAAAAACTCTTAATAATCGTTCGATTTTAACAATCTTTCAACGCAATGTTTATCATACTTAGTCTATAGATTTTTGCAACATTCAATGGTTTTGAATCAATACCATGAAGGGACGAAATTGATGTAATGTAATGAACAATTTTGAATTGATTTTAATGTATTTTGATTGATTGAAACTCGTCAATAGAATAACAAAAAACTCTTGATGAGATGCAAACATATGAAAAGAAAGAAAAGAAGAAAAATGCAATATAGCGTTGCTGCAGCACTTCTTTGTTTACATATAATACTTTCACATTGCCACTGACTCTACAGACACGAACGAAAAACGAGAAAACGCTTGCAACAATAATAAAAATTCATCAGTTTGTGTTTTTGTTTCGTTCGTTGTTAATGTACTTTTTTGTTGATCTTTCATATTTGTTATAATTGCATTTACAGAAGAAACCCAAAAGAACCATACGATCAACGTTACAGCCAATTTTTTACTTTCCGGGACAAACTTGTATTTTTGTACAAAGAAGTGCGGGATGTGTGACAGTGATAAAGGCTTTTTTGTGACTTCTGAATTAAGGAGAGTGTGAGTTTGACTGCCGGACTCCTGTTCATCCACACCCATATGACACGGCTAAGGTTCATAAATGCAACTATGAGATAAAACTTTGGTTTGCTTGCTATATATCCGACTCCACTTAGACAACTCGCAATCGCTCCAGTAATCACAGAGCACAGTAGATATTACTGAGCGTTAAGCACAATACAAACGATTCTTTTCTATTCGAATCACTAGTTAATGATTTACAGTATATTTGACAAAAATAAAAATTGTTGTTTCGTTCACATTATCAGAATGTTTATTACAAGCAGAATGAAAAACATCAAACTGACGATGTCTTCGTTATTTTTTTTTCGTCGCTGCCAGAAAGAGAAAAACTGTCGTTCTGAAAGAATGAAAGAAAAATAAACAATGAATGAGACAAGGTATTCAATACAATGACACTCAATTCATTACACAGATGAAAAGCAAACAAAAGTTGGAAAGAATAACAATAGAATAAATGACGCCGTTGGATTTTTTTCTGTTTCACTTGTTGTTGACAACCATATTTTCAACTGAAACTAGGTGAAGTTCGTTGATAAGTGTCAACGAAAAAACATACACATATTTCACGTCGTAGAAAAATCTA